GCAACATTCGTACAAATGTGCTTGATACAACTGATGTATATAGATTGTTATAAGAACTGTGAGAGCCCCCAATAAGGTGATTTATTAAAATAAAAGAAAAAAAGGTGAGGCAGACAGTCTTATGTTTTTCAGGATGAGCAGCTGGCAGGTTTAAACCTCTCAACTGATTGTTAGCAGTTCAGTGACTACCTCACTTTGCCAACCAGCAATTCTACTACAGACCATTTCTTATTTAATAGGCATCAAAGTATATGGTAGTTTGACACCTTCTGAATAAGTCCTTATTTTGTATATCCACATTGAACCTTTTCATGTATGAAACTCCCTTGAGGTCATAATTACTGGGTATTTATTAAATTTTCTTTTCCTACTGACAGTCATATAGTTTAAAGTTATTTTATTTTTGTAACTACTGCATTATGTATTCACAGACTCTCTAAGAAAATATAATATAGGGGTTTGCTGAACAAATGTAACAACATGAAATTAGGTGCTGTAGTACATATTCTTTGCAATAGTAATTTGGCATTAAGAGAATTATGATACATTTTCTCCCATAAGCCCTCATACACTTACCAGAGCACCTGTGCTGAGCAGAGTGACGAGGCCAATAAAACACTTGAACCAACTGTTTTCTACTATTTTGCAGCAAGTTTTCCTTATGTTCTGCCACATTTTTCTTTTCTTGTTCTCGCGACTGATTTGACCAGGTGAAGATCTTCGTCCATTACCTACTAAGAACAACAGCGTTAGGACCCCAAACGCGGAAAACACATCAAATATAAAGACTTCAAAACGGCTTCCCTCCTCTCTAACCAAATCAAACTCATTGTCCTGAAGTCGGTTCTGATTCACCGCAGTCCTATCGAACAGAGTAGAGCTGCTCCGGGGGATTTCCAATGTTCTAAATATTGAAATAGAAAGCCTTGTATTTCTCCTGCAGAGTGACTAGCGGTTTTGAACTTCAGACCTAGTGAGTAGCAATGTAATGAGTAAGTCATTAATTCACCAGGTCTTTCCATGAACTTTCTCACTAAACTGACTGCCATCGAATTGATGCCCAGGCATAGGACACCGAAGGACAGAGAAGAACTGGCCCTGTACCCTTCCAAGACTGCACCTGTTGATGGGGGTAGAAAACCCCGTCTTTCTACCAGGGTGCCTCTTTAGTAATTATTTATTTGCAGATTCTAGTGGTGTGGTGGTTATACATTGGGCTGCTAGCCACAAGGTCAGTTGTTCAAATCCACCAGCTGCTCTGAGGGAGAAAGAGGCTTTCTGCTCCCGTGAAGAGGTAGCGTCTCAGAAACTCACAGGAACTGTCCTATCCTATTCTAGAGGGTAGCTATGAGCCAGAAGTCACTAGATGGCAGTGAGTTTCTTTCATTTTTATTATAGATAAGGGTTCACTTAATGATAAACACTTATTTTTAACTCCTTTTGCATTAACCATTGCTCCCCTGTGCTAATGGGGGAAAACAAAAACAAGGTTGTGAAAGGCAGAGCTAGTTTAGAATGAACATTCCCAAACTATTGGCCTAACACCTCTTTTCAAAAGAATTACTGAGGGCCCTCTGGCCAGGAGCCCCAAATGTGCTTTAGCACAGACTCCAGGATCAGGTGAAGGCACCTGCTGAGGCAGCCCCCTGGGATTGCTCGAGCATCTCCCGGGGCAGCGGGAAGGGCAGGACTGTCCACTTTGCAAGATACTGGTTTGGAAAAACACCTTTTCATCCCTGGACCCAAGTCTCAAAATAAAGCTTATCATCACCCCCCAAAAGAGAAAGTAGGGCTAGGAAGTAGAATCTGGGTTTGGCGGCTGGTGGTGGTGGAGGGGTGGTGAGTTTACAGTGCTGGGAAGGGTTAAACAGAGATGAAACAGCAATGATGTCAAGGAATCCAGGAAGAAAAAGAATGTTTGGAAACTGATTGTGGAAACAATTGTACAATACTGCTTGGCATGACTGAACTGTGGAATGATATGATATATGTATTAAATCTCAATTAATAATAAATTAAAAAATTTAGAAACCTTTAATAAAGTAAAACATCAAAATCTGGGAAAAATGCACACACAAAATAATCTAAATGTTATATTTGGCATAATGTGTAAGGTTTTACGTTCTGAAGATTTACTTGGAATAATAAACAGGTTTATTCAAAAATATAAATATTTATGAGTTGTTGAGGGGCATAATTTATCTATTAAATCAGTTAAATTGCTTTGATCCATGTCATAGGTGGCATGTAAACAGGAATTTTGATTGCGACTAAGGAGCTAACTTGGGTAACTGAGTACTCAGAGGGTAAGGTACATGTATATGAAGTTGGTCAAGAGGAGTAGTATAAGGAAAGCCTGAAATTTGAGAAGAAAGTGATCAAAATGGGGAGAATGAAGAAATGGAGTGAATTCAGTTTGAAGTCAAAACATTTGATTTTATAATTTTACTTAGTGTCAAATTATAAAATTCTCTAACAAATTTAAGAAGTATTTCATCCCTCTGTTAGATGTTAAAAGTCAGACAAAATCCAAGCTCATGAGGGTGAATTCTTATTTAGAATGTAGGAATTTGAGCATTTAGTAGTTAGCATTTTGTTGATGATTTCAATATATTCAGGACCTGTAGTAATTTGCTAATCTTGGTAGGAAACAAATTAGAATTACAATCATCAGGAGTTTAAAATAATATGTCTCATGAGTCAACCAACTGATGAATCCTCATAGATGTCTAAATATTCAATATGGAATATTAAAATATGTTACTATTATATAAGATGAAAATGATAACATGTTTTCATATGAATATTTTAAATAATGACCTTATTGCATGGAGTATAAAATGTTTTATTTCACTTTAACAAATAATCACTCTGTGATTCTGCATTATCTATTACCCATACATAATCTCTATTCTAATGTACACAGTTAACTATAGTTAAGTTAAATGGGAATTTTTAATATATATTTCCAATATTTATTCTAGCATGAAAAGTGTTTTGAAGTCAATCTTATCAGTAATATTCCATTTATACAATATCACTACACTTCGCTTCTCCATTAACTAGCTATCATTATCTTGGTAAGGTAAGTTAATGAAGAAAGATGTTGATGATGATGATAACTAGTATTATGGTGTGCTAAATATGTGTATTTGCCAGGTTTTTGTCTAAGGTTACATGTACACACACATAGATATAGTTTTGTCTTACTTTATCCACATTTCACATATCAAGAAGTAAGAAAAAAGTTAAATAGAAGCTAAAACGGTGGTTAAAACTTGAATTCAGTTCACCTTGACTCCAAAACCAATACTCGTAACTATGACATCGGTTCTCTAGGAAACAGGTTTTCACCTGCATTCTTTTCTTGGCATTGCATTCTAGGACACACACACACACACACACACACACACACACACACACGGATTAATAAGTGTTTTAAACCCTTTAAAATAAAAAATCTATTATTATTTATTTTAATGATTTAATTTAAGAGATATTTAACCTAATTTCAAGTTAGTGATCAAAGGAACTTATTTTTCTTACCATTTGGGGGATGCTTTGGCTTTTCACGTTCATAGACCATTTCTTCTTCAGAAATAGCAATATCAACTGTACTGCATTCTGAGGAGCTAGATGGCTTTATTTTCTAGGAAGCAAAGTCCCATATAAACATGTAACTCAAATTTCATTCACACACTTTAATCAAAGTTTATTTCATTTTCAGAAGAAAATTATGTTTAGAAGGAATATTATCAGGGTTAAAAGATCTTAGGACAATTAATCAGTGACATTAAAATATATACAGATTAATATGAGTTGACATATATGAAAATTATTTTAAAATACTGAAAGGAAAATCCTTTAAATGAAAATTAACATTTAATTAATAACATTCTCATCCCAAAACAAATAGGCTCTCTCCAACTTATTAAAATGTTGGAACACCAATTTTTTTTCCACAATGTTCCTATTTATGGTTTTTTATTTAAATGAAGCAGAATAAAAATACAAGTACACAATAGTGTTTTAAATTCTATATCATTGGCTAAATTAATGACATTATTAATAGAATTAACCCTATGCCCCAGGGGGGTGATTGATAATGTTCTTTAACATAAAATAACAATGATCTCACTAAGGTAAACCAGAGACATAAATCATAGATATCTGAATGGATTTTTGGTATCACATTTAATTCCAGGCCCAGCCTAAGAACAATGATTTCTTAGGACATGGTTCTGCTTGATGCTCGTCCTCATGAAGAGATCGCCAAAGATATGGGTCCTACAGAAAAGGGTGGTGAAGAAAGTAGATGGTACTCAACTTTCAGAAAGAATAGTGTCTGGGATATTAAAGGCTTGTTTTCAAACAAACAGCGATGTAAGCAAGGCATCAAATAAGTTCATGTAGAAGAAGCACACCAGCCTGTGTGATTAAGAATTGTAAAAAATATGATCCTAATCTGAAAGAGGAAGTGGTATCAAACTTAAGTTGTTTGCACCTGGTTTGCAGAAGGCTATAGACAACAGTGGAAGCCCGACATCCATTTGCAGCGTCCGCACATGGCTTAGGATTCCAGGGAATTCCTTTCTGACCATAGTTGAGGGATGTGAATTGGCGTGTAATTAGATAGAGAGTATTTATTGTAAAGTCGACTATGGCAGATCTAATTATTTTACAATGTACATAATAATAATAATATTGTACTATTTGAGCTCTTTTTTTATCCATTTAAAGTTGCTTCCGTTAAAAAAAAAATACTAATGAAGGGAAAATACACCTGGATTAAGCCTCTGGGGAATTCTCTCTGACCATAAAACAGGGATGTGAATGGTCTTGCTATCACGCAGAGTGGACCGGAAAGTGGATTACTGCAGACGTAGTTAGGTTAAAATGTAACACTTATCCTTTGATCTCCCTTTGGATCCATTTTAAATTTGTTCTGGTTTTTAAATTTTTGGACTTATATGCAATTGAGTTTATTTTTCCTGTTTTACTTCATCACTGTGTTTGTATGTGTTTCTGGGTGTGACATTCAGGATAAGTACACCTACAGAGGTAGTAACTGGTGGATTCTTCAGTGTACCCCAGGGGAGGTTGGGGAGAAATGGGGGCAAGTACAATGAGTACAAGAAAACTGAAAATGTTCTAAAATGGATTGTGGTGACACGTGGGTTATGTGTCAATAAAACTTTTAAAAATAAAATAAAAATATGAGTATTTGGCTGTATTTGACCTACATTTAGATACCACCTAAAGACTATTTTGGATACATTGCACACTGACTGAAGGCCAAACAAGTTGGGGGATGACATCTAGGATATTACTGAGGAAGAAAGCAAAAGGTCATTACAAAGACAGGAAATAAAAGACTAGGCTAAATAAATGTCAGAAGAGATTTGGAAACATGCTATTGAATGTAGAGTAGCTAAAATAAATGCACAAAATGATGAAGTGAAGATCTGAACAGAAAATTTTAAATTGTTAACTGAGAAGACAGAATGAAGTGTTGCAATAAAATGCGCCAACGCCTAGAATTAGAAAACCAAATGGAAGGAACACACTCAACATGTCTCAAGCTGAAAGGGTTGAAGAACGAAATAGTCAAGACTCTACTTGAAATATTAAAGGATTCTGTGGAGAAAACACTGAATGCTGCAGGAAGCTTTCAAAGAAGATGAAAGAAATACACAGAGTGACTACCAACAAGAACAGGTCAATGTTCAACAATGTTAAAAGGTAGCATATGATCAAGACCAATGGTATTAAAGGAAGAAGTCCAAGCTGCACTGAAGGCACTGGTGAATTTTAAGGCTTCAGACTTGACAGAATACCAATAGAAATGTTTTGGTAACGTGGTACGATTCTGGATGTGTGTGGTAGTTACACAATTTCGTATCAACTTGATAAATAAGAATGAGGGGGTGGAGTCTAGCCTGTCAATCAGCTCATAGCCTGGGAATCCCTCCTTGGGGGCTTGGTCTTCTCATGAGGATTCTGGGACTTCCTCTCTTCATCCCTGGCAGTGGGACACATTCTCCCTGCTACACATTCCTGATGACAAGTCACATGGAGTCACGCTGATGGCAGCCAGAGCCCTGGAGATGCTTCCATCATTACTGGATCCACAAGAGTTTCCACTCAGAGACCTGAGATCTTCCTGCATTTGGCATCATTGCATTGCGTGAGTCTGAAGAGGAATTTATAGCCAAGTATAGAACATAAGGGCTAATATCAGACATATGGACTTGATCTGGACTGGGCTGGATGTTTTCTTAATAAACAATTACTCTTTGATGTAAAACTCTCTCTTACACACATCTGAGTGTCTCTGGATTTGTTTCTCTAGTCTACCCAGACTAACACAAAGTGCCTACTTGTCTATACCAAGAAATGTAGAAGGCCAACTGACTGGAAGAGATCCATGTTTGTATCCATTCCGAATAAAGGGGATCTAATACAAAGTGGGGATTATCAAATAATATTTTTTATATCACACACAAGTAACATTTTGGTGAAGTAAATTTAGAAATTATATGCCAGTACATCAACAGGGAACTTCCAGAAATGCAACCCAAATTCAGAAGTCGAGTAGATAATGGTATACCTTGTCTTTTAAAAACCTAGCTCAGGCATTCTTCTGTATTTCATCTTAGGACAGAATTGATAGTTATCCTAACGTGAGATGAAGGAATGGCACAGAATTAGTTACTACCATCTAGTCCACTCCGACAAATAGTGACCCTATAGAACAGGGCAGAAGAGCCCCTCTGAGTTTATGACAGAGATATGCCGAGAATAATGGTGTCAATCCCATGGATGGAGGTTAGGATTGGCCACTCTTTCCCCTTTTTTCTTCATGGCTAAAAATTCAAGGCTGGTTAGGACAATTGGACATTTTCTTGCATGCATGGTTATAATACAAATAATATATTTTGCTTTTGTCAGTACTGATTTTTTAAACAACTCTTTTACTTTATTTTACAATGACTATACACTTTGTTAACTGTATACAGTGTTACAATGCATACATTTAAAATTACCAAGAGCCTGAATTTAATAACCTATAACTCATATTGTCTAATTAAAACAAGATAAACTATTTAAATATTTTTGAAACCAGTCAAATTTCTTAAGAATCAAACCCTAATTAAAGTAAAATACATAACATGGAAATAGTAAATGCTCTCTTTCCTGACACTCTCTAATCTGGGATGGCTGCCCTGTGAGTTCTAAGACAAGGAGTGCATGGTGCAGCTCTGATCTGTGTGGATGTATTTCTTGATTGAATTATACTCCTTTCTAAGATATGTTGCTGTCTGCCACGGAGAGTACAGAACTGTCTCCGGTAAGGTATACATTTTGGAAGCTAAGTGAACTGCATCTATTCTTCTTTCCATGTGACTGGCTTTTCCCCTTCTAGGGGTTAGTATCCCGGAGAAAGATGGGCTTTCTGCTCCCGTGAAGGTTTACAGCCTCAGAAACGCCATATAGGGTCACTACGAGTCAGACAGAGTCCACTCCGTGGGTTAATAAAGCCACACATTTCCCACAATCCAAATGGAATGGTTTCCTTTAGTCTCTTAGTCAACTCAAGTGATTAAAGGTTCGATTATATGATTATTCTTTTGTTCAATCATATGTAAACATATGATCGTATGTTAGAGCAATGGAATGATTAGAATCTTAGAACATTAACAGGAAAGACTCTTACTAGTCTAGTTAAGCCTCATATTTTAAAGATTATACAACCCAGAGCTATTTAGTGATGTTTCTTTTCTTTCAGTCACACACAGTGGTTTTTAGTCTCTTTGCCGTGCTTTCCATCACAATAGATTGCCTCCTTAATGATTTACATGCTTGCAGATACTGTGCCCGGCCAACGGGAACTTACACGGGTCCCCTGAGGTGCTCGCTTCCATGTGACCACGCGCATGGCGTGGCGGAGGGAGGATTACATGCGGGTCTGAGGGAAGCGTCAGCGCTGACTCTTTCCTGGTAGGATACATGACGCCATTCAGCAACACGAATTAGGTATGCATCTTACCTCTTTGCTGCTTCCGTCCGCTGACCTGCTCCGGAGGTCCTTGTTGTCCAGGTTCTCGAGATCAGACTCCCCGGAGGCGATGGGCACGGTCTCAGAGAGCGTCGGGCTGGGGATCAGAGACTGGCTCTCCTTTTCCGTCAGCGTGTTTTGCTCGGAGCCGCTGCTTTTCTCCTTGTCCCTGGGGAACTCTTGGGTGTTGCTCAAGGCAGACAGGGTATTGTCAGAGATCGTCTCTTGCACATACAGATCGTGAACGTTGTCCACCGTCTCCTTTAGAACATTTGCTTTTTTGCAGGATAATCTTAAAATCACATAGTTGATTCCTTCTTTGATCCTGGCCATGGCGAGTCGGACATTTTTAGCCTCATTGCTCTCTTCAATTGCTGCAGACTGGTAGGCGCTGAAGGAGCTCACCAAAGCCACAAACAAGTATAAGATCTAAAACAGAAGTAAAAGGAGGCTAAATACATCTCTCTTGTTTTTGATACTATAGAAAAATCCTTAAAGCCTGCTGGCCTGAGGTCTGAACAGGCGAACACAAGCCCATTGGCATTCAGTTTTCATCTATGAGAGGCCAGAAGATGTTCTGGGAATTTGTGTAACCAGACCTCGTGTTTGGTCATCACAGTCCACTAACTGATTTCTTCAAAATTTTTTGGATGAAATAAGACAAGGTTTATTGTTGTCAAAAACCTGAAAATTTACTAGGTTTGAATGACTCAAGTTTGTCTTACTGCAATATTCAATTTCTTTCACTGAGCCAGGTTGCCTCTCCCAATCATCCAAATATTAATTACTCTCCCAGGGCTTTGGGTTCACATTAGCCCCATCCCTGGAAGATGTTTAGAGTCTATACACCTTTGAGGATCCTCAAGAGTCAGAACCTAACCAGGTTCCTAATGCCCACGGTGATTCTCTGTTATAAGTTTGGTCAAACCAAGAAAGTGGCGACAACAGAATCATCCCACATATTTTGAGAAGTCAGAGGAGCATGTCTATGCTCCAGAGACCCAGTGTGACTCTTATTTGTAATTGGAGGTCTAGACGGGTTTCGATTCTCGTGGTGGAAATTCAGAACGACCACTTGCTCAAAGGACTGATTTGAACTGCATGTCTGCTTTGGCAGTTTTACAAGGGGACTTCAAAGAGTTCTGGAAAGATGAAATTGAGTGTCATGGAATTTTTCTACATACTTTTTGACACCCCCTCATACTCTTTTGTCGTATATTCTAGCTTCTGAATATTCCTTCATTTTTATGCTGCACATATTATTTGTAGAGGGAAATGTCTGACTGTTACATATACATTATGCTTATATAGTGAATATTTACATTATGTATAAGAATATATGTAAATATATAAATGCACATACATAAAGGATGTCTGGTGGCACAGTGAGTTAAACATTGGCTGTTAACCAAAAGATGAGCAGTTTAAAACTCAATGCAGCTTCGTGGGAGAAACATGAGGCTGTCTGATCCCCCCAAATATTTCTGACCTCAGAAACTCTATAAGCAGTTCCACTTTTCCCTATAGGGTTTTATATGTGTTAGAATCAAAATATACACATGAACATAATAAATCCATCTTTTTTGCCTTATATATCTTTGTGATATGTAAGGAGCCCTGGTAGTGCTGTCCAGTAAGCACTGGATTGCTAACCATAAGGCTAGGGGTTCAAAATCCATCAGTCACTTCCTGGGAGAAAGTTGAGAGTTTGCTCTGATAAAGAATTACAGCCTCAGAAACCCATTATAGGGTTACTATGAGTCACAGTAAGCAGTGGGCTTTTTAAAATTCTCATTTATTAACATACTGGAATCTTTTAAGAAATTATATGTATTGTTTATATATACATAAAACAATTAGGTATACTAGGGATCCAAGCACTCATATTAAAACATCTTTTTGAAATCTTCACCTTTTCTACAATTAACATTGCACACAATTATTTAAAAGCTATTTTTACAAATAGCTCATTTTGCATATGTTTCTATTTTTAAAAAATATTTCTGCTTAAAGCTGATAATCACTGCTGAAATGCTATATTTCCAGGTATAACACAAAACTTTTAAATATATGTGTTATTTTCCTCACAGCCTTTATTTCTGAGAATAAGAACTGCATTTTATGTGGGAATTCTCACTTCTTCATTATCAGTTACATAACGGCTTTTGATTGATTCCGTCTAGGAATAACAAGGAAGAGTTCTGATTGGGTGAACATAATCAGCTATCCTCTACTTTGGGGAGAAGACACTAGTTGAGAAGTGGACATGCAAGTCAAATGGAACTCATGAGATAGTAAAACTGTGCTGTGGCTTCGAGAAAAGAAATACTGTCTAGGATTGGACTTGATACACTAGGAAGTTTTGGAATATAGCCACTATCTTAATGCTACAGCGGATAACAGCTGGCAAGCAGAATAGAACATGATAGACCTGGTGTGTGTGTGTGTGTGTGTGTGTGTGTGTGTGTGTGTTTGCAGCCAGTTTGCACAGGGTTTTAAGTCACTATGAGTTGAAAGAATTCTAGTAGATACGAAGACCATGAGGTTTTTCGATTTTATTTGATTTGGTTTTGGTTTTATTAGAATATTTTCCCGTGTTGCTCATTGTTCCAGGATTTAATATAGAGAAGAATCCAGTTTCTTCCCCTCCTGGAGCTCACAGTTTGGTAAAGACGATATGGAAGCACATTAGAACACGGAGCAGCCTCCCTCATTGTATGCGTATGACAGAAGTACGACCAGCGTGTCCGAGCAAAGAGGGAGGGCACACACGCAATCGTATCCAGCCTGTGAAGTCATTCAGCCTTTTATGGTTTATAGACTTGATGTGTCTGATTGATGAGTTAAGAGCAAGTATCAAGGTGTTTTTCCCCCCCTATAAGAACAGTCATATAAATCATTCCTATTTCTCAGAATAAGTGAGTTACTTGCTCAAATAAATGTAGCTTCCCTGTAATAAATAATCATTTAAAAAACCAAAATTCCCTGCCACCAGTCATTACTAACTCCTATCGACCCTACAGTACAGTGTAGAACTACCTCTGAGTCTCTGAAATGGCAATGCTTCATGGGATTGGAAAGCCCAGCCTTTCTCCCAAGGAATAGCTGGTGGTTTCGAACTGCTGGCCTTGCAGATTGCAGCCCCAAGATTTCACTCCTAGATAATGCATAATAATTTTATGAATCAGTGGTTTTAAAAATGTGCTGCATAATATCCAACTGAAAATTTTAAACAGATGTGAAACAATCTCTGGGAGTGGGTCCAAGGAATCAGTATATGTATTCCTTAGATAATTTCAAGGTTTATCTAACCTGGGACAGACAGTGTTACATTTAACTTATTCTTAAAATTTAAGAATACACATATAGTTTACACATATAATCTGGGCATACTGTTAAAATGCAGGTTTTACTTCTATAGGTCTAAAAGAGCTCAGAGAGTTTGCATTTCTAGGAAGTCTTCTGTCAAGCTAATGCTACCATTAATAGCAAAGCCTTACACCAGCATTATCCTATACAAATATGATTCATATCACAAAATCAGTTTTAAATTTCCATACTCAATAGGTAGAAAAAGTAAACTGATGTTAAAATGTATTTTATATCACTCAATATGAAAGTCATTATTTAAATTTTTATCCAATATAAAGTTATTAATTAAATCATTTACATTTCTGACTACTTTTTCTTCATATGCAGATTGTAATTCATGCTTACAAGATTTTCTATTTGAATCAGTCATATTTCAAATGATGAATAGTCTCATGCGGCTAGTGGTCATCGTATTGAATAGCCTAGTTGTAGGACCAATGGATTCCATCAATGCACATCATGAAAAAAATACTGTGCTATGTCATTTCCCCCCAAGGAAATAGGATTACTTACCAATAGGTTTCCAATTAAAATCACCATTATGTAAAAAGGAATACAGGTGATTTGGCTTGCCACCTCCAAGCATTCCCATAAAGTCTCTATCCACTCTCCACAGAGAATCCGGAACACGACCAGGAAAGAATGGAAGAAGTCATGCATGTGCCAGCGTGGGAGTTGACAGTCTTCGTCTACCTTGCAAACACAGTGTTCATAACTTCCACTAAAGACTTTCAGCCCGAGAACAGCAGAGAAGAAAATGAACATGAACAGTAGTATGATCACGTTTTTCAGGGCCACCAGTGAATGATTGAGTGTCCACATTAGCTTCGTAAACGTTGGCCAATATTTCCCCAACTTGAAAATTCGCAGCTAAGAGAGTAATGTTAAAAAAGCAAACAAAAAACCAAGAAACAGACAAGGTAACAAAAACAAAAATCTTGTTAGCATTTGCTTTGCTGAAGAATATCTAAAATTTTTATCAACATTATACATCCAGTCTTCAATATTCAGTTTTTAGCAATAACACTAACCACTGGATTTCATTTTATGAGTAAGACAAAAAACATCTAATTCTATAACTGTATACATTGAATTCATATATAGTCTCATATCGGTTTTTCAATTCTCTGTCCATTATTATGCTATTATACTTACCCCAGTTCAGCTTATGTTTAGGTAACTGGTAGGTGCACATATTCATTCTTTGTTTCTTTCTTTTAGCTTACGTTGCTTTTCTAGAGTTTCACATCTCATTGAAGTTCCTATTGTGCATATCTCTTTTAGAAACTTTGGTGATAAAATATTTAAAAACCAAAATTTGCCGTTCTATGAATGGGACTATACTCATGAATGCATTATATAGTTTGACAATAAATTTACATGTGCTGCAAATGTCTCTATGAATATAATAAATAGAGCATACAGAAAGCAAAGCTATACAATTTCTTAACCTAACCAAAGACCTTGAGGGAATGATTTGCTGAGCCTAGGGACCTGGGACCATAGTTTTTGGAGATAAAAAGTTCTACTGGCATAATGTAGTACACAAGAATAAGAATTCTACCAGAGTCTTCATTCTGAAATGGATCAAATACGAAATCAAGATTCATTGACCATTATGATAATTGAAATGCAAATGTTGGAGGCAAAGAGGGAGGAACAGTAGTTGGAAAATATGGCCTTGTAGAGACAAGGGAAGCTTGAAATCAAATGAGATATAATTTTGAAAAACCAACAATTTCTTCATTACAAACAGTTGGATTTCACCAGGAGAAATATACAGAAAGCAAATTGATTACATTTGTGGAAAGAGAAGATGGAGCAGCTCAATATCAGTAGCTAAAATCAGGCCAAGAGCTACCTGTAGAATAGATCATCAATTGCTAATATATAAGTTCAAGTTGAAGCTGAAGAAAATGAAAATTCTATAAGAGCCCACAATATAACCTTGAGTAAATCCCACCTGAATTTAGAGAATATATCAAAAACAGATTTGATGAATTGGACACTAATAACAGAACTGATGAGCTTGGCGTACATAAGAAGATCATTCATGAAAGCAAAAAGTCATTAAGAAGACAGAAAAAAAAGAACAGATCAAAGTAGATGTCAGAAGAGACTCTGAAACTTGCTCTTAATCATAGAACAGCTAAGACACACGGAAGGGAAGAAATAATGAGGTTACAGAAGTGAACAAACATTTCCCAAGGACAATTTAAGAAGACAAGGTCAAATATTATAATGAAATGTGCAAAGACCTAGAGTTAGAAAACCAAAAAGAAAGAACACATCTAGGGTACTTTAACCTGAAAGAACCAAAGGGGGGGGGGGGCGGGGGATCAAACCTCAAGATGCAAAATTGAAAAATTTTATGGGCAAAATAACAAATGATGCTGGAAACATCAAAAGAAGATGGAAAGGAAAATAACTGCTCAACATTGAACCATATAAGAGGTTACATGTGATCAAGAACCCATGGTACTGAGGGAGGACGTTCAAGTTGCACTGGAGGCATTAGCCAAAAACAAGGCTCCAAATGTGGATGGAATACCAATTGAAATATCTCAACAAGTTGATGCAGCACTGGAAGCACTTAGCTCCTTGGTCAATTAACTGGAAGAGATCTATGTTTATATCTATGGTAGGTAGGTTTATTATGCCAACCTGGCCAATAAACACGTGCGATTAATACGGTTTCAGTTTAATTGAAGTGCCAAGAGATAAATGGCTCAGTGAGACTGGCCTTTCTGTCTCTTGTTCTCTGACGATCAGACCAGTGCTCTGCCTCAACTTGCAAGCTTGACTACTTGTGGGACACCTAAACCGTGGATCATGTCTCTATAGTTTGAGGTTCCTTTGAGACCTGCTTTGCCACACTACTGGTGTATACATCACTTGAGCTGGGGACTGTCAGACCCTGTCATCTGGCTGACTGTTCGTGATCTGCCCTGCTTTTTGCTGCCTGTGGCCAGAATGCCTGTATTTCTCTACAGAAGACTCAGCTGTCTGCTTCCTGGATTTGTACCCAGCAGCCCTCGTGAGATGAAGGACTGCCAGTATATTAACTATCTCAAAAAAGTGAGTTGAACTGAGCCCTCTGAATTGCTCTGTGGACTAATTAGCTGTTTATTTCGTTGTGATGCATTTATCTATATAGAGATATAAAATCATAAGTGTACCGATTTTGTTTCTCTAGAGAACCCTGTCTAACACAATATCCATCCCAAAGAAAAGTAACCCAAAAAATGCTCAAATTATAAAAACAATATCACTGATATCACATGCCAGTAAAATTTTGGTGTTTACCATCCCAAAATTATTTCAGCAGTATGTTGACAGGAACCTGCCAGAGGTTCAGGCTGGATTCAGAAGATGATGTGGAACAAAGAATATCTTGTTGATGTCAGATGGATCTTGGCTCAAAGCAGAGAATAACAGAAAGATGTTTACTTGTGTTTTATTGACTACGCAAAGGCATTCGACTATGTGGGCCATAACAAACTATGGATAGCTTTGAGAAGAATGGGAATTCCAGAACATTTCATTGTGCTTATTCAGAACTTGTACATGGATCAAGAGGCTGTTGTACAAACATAACAAGGAAATACTTCATGGTTTAAACTCAGGAAAGATGTGTGTCGGGTGTATCCTCTCACCATAATTGTGCATTCTGTATGGTGAAGTGGGCTCATACGAAGAATAATGCAACATCACGAAGAGATGAAGACTTAGTAACAGCCTGTGATATGCACATGACACAACCTTGCTCACAGAAAGTGAGGAGGACGTGAAGCACTTGCTGATGAAGATCAAGGATTACAGCCTTCAGTATGGATTACAATTCAATGTCAAGAAACCCAAATCCTCACAACTGGACCAACAGGTACTATCATGATAAGTGGAGAAAAGATGTAATTTGTCAAGGATTCCATTTTGCTTTGATTCATAATCAATGCTCATGGAAGCAGTAGTCAGAGGTCAAATGAAGCATTGCCTTGAGTAAATATGATGCACAAGGCTTCTTTAAGGTGTTGAAAAGCAGTGATGTTACTTTGAGGGCTAAAGTTTGCCTGACCCAAGCCATGATATTCTCAATAGTCTCATTTCCATGTGAAAGTTGGACACTGAAAAAGGAAGACAAAAGATGAATTGATGCATTTGAATTATGGTGCTAGCAAAGAATACTGAAAGACTCATGGAATCTCAAAGAACAAACAAATCTCTCTTGGCCAAAGTATAACCAGAATGCTCCTTAGAAGCAAGGATGCTCTAAACTTTATACTTTGAAGAAGAGACCAGTTCCTGAAAAACACCTCAGGCTCGGTAAAATAGAGGGGCTGGGAAAAAGAAGACCCTCAATGAGATGGATTGACACAGTGGCTGTAACAACGGGCTCAAACATAGGAACAATGGTGAGGCTGGCACAGGACTGAGATGTGCTTGTTCTGTTGTAATAGGGTCACTATGGGATTGAATCGACTTGTCACCTAGCAACAACAACAATGACTAAACACTTTAAGCAGTTTTCCCTGTGATGTTTGGCCATTCGCATATCATTGTGGGGAAACATGTATTCAAAATCTCTGAACAGTTTTGATTAGGTTGCTTGTTTTTTTGTTGTTGAGCTGAAGGTTATATATACATCTAATCTTACCCAACATTAAACCTTCATCGGATATACAGATCTTACATTTTTTTCCCTTAAAATTTGTAGGTTGTTTCTGCACTTTCTTGAGAAAATACTTCAGTGCACAAAAATTTTCACTTTGATGATGTCCATCTTTCTAATTTATACTTTGTCCTTCATATTTTTAATGTAATATCTAAAGTACATTTTCTAAAACAAGGCCTTGAAATTTTAGCAATATTTTTTCTTCCAGGTCTTGAAAATTTGCATCTCTGTTTTCTTCTAAGAGTTTTATTGTTTATATTATGGCTATTGATTGCTTTCTAGGTAATTCTGCAATGTAATAATGAGGTATTGGTCCAAACCTACTCTTTTGAATGTGGATACATAATAATCTCAGCTCCATTATTGATGAGCCAATCCTTTCTCCATTGAAAATTCTTGGAAACCCTGTCAAAAATCAATTGATGAGGGATGTGTCTCTCAACCCTGACCTTAAGCCATTTATTTTTGCTTCTTACAGATAACAAATTCACGGATTTATTCTCTTTTCTTCCAAGCACACTTCATGGAAGCCTGGTCCAACATATTAATTTCTCCCCTCCACCTTGTTAAAGAGCCCTGTGGTTCTATGAGTTTGCACTGGGCTATCAACAAGCTATGCACCATCAGCATCTCTGTAGGAGAAATATGTCTGTTCCCATGGGCCTTCGCAATCCTACAAACCCGGAGTAGACTTGCTATCAGTCAGAATCAATTCAATGGCAGTGGGCTTGGTCTGGCTAAACCTGCTCTCTTCCTTTATATAGTTTTCTACATTTTACTTAGAAATACTTGGAAATCCCAGCTTCTTAGTTACATATCACCCTTTAACTCCCAAGGCTCTTCATTATCTTGCTTAGCAAAAAGTGTCTGGTAACGTTCACCCCCTTCCAAGTTTGCTGCAAATATGGCCTCATTTATTTAGGTTTTAGTCAAATATCATCTATGAAAATGGTTCATTCACTTAGTTTTCCCAACATTCTAACATGCTAGGTATTACTATTTTCGTACTTGATGCCTGAGGAAACTTAGATTCATTGTAATAGCAAGCCGTGGGGGCTGGGGGTCTACTTACCATTCTGAATAATCGAACAATAGCCAGTCCTTCCGTAGCCATCAGAAAAATTTCAGCTAACCCAAGGAACACAACAATGCTGTCAAATATGTTCCAACCTGCGTGGAAGTACCCATATGGATTCATGGCCACTATTTTAAAAATCATCTCCGCTGTGAAAATCCCAATAAAGACCTACATTAAAAATAAAACAAATGAGTGAAGACAGATTCCAACAGTCCCATCCCCAAGCGAATGTAGACAAGATGACCCTTCATGCTGAATTCTTCGTTGTTTTTCTGGCTCGTTTTGGAGGCTGTACTACAAGGACAGACTCACACCTTTTATTGAACAATCCTACGTGAAACATTTTATACTGAACCGCTAATGATTTTAATAAAAGATATCCTGGGAGAAAACAAAAGAATATTTTCTGGTGAAAATCTTTGCATTTTTTTATACTTTCTTATGAGATAAGTGAATGAAATGGATAAGAAGAGGGATTAGAAGTGCAAGCCAGTTGCCGGTGTGATCCAGATTCTGACCCTGGTACCAGTGAAGACCTTGCATATCTTATTTGACCTTTGCTCCCCTCTGATGGATGGGGCTGTGGCACCAGGAGATTGTATGCTTGGGAAGGAAGGGAGCAGGCAACACACCCTGTTAAGTTTTCAAATTTTACAATTTCTGAGAGAATTAAAATGGCATGCACGTGACCCAGATAAAAACAGTGGGAACTGAGATATGATGTATTTTGGCAACTGTACTGGCAGAAATAACTAAATGACTGTGTTATTTTCAAAGGATCATTCAAAACTTGCAGCAGTTTGATTGTGTGGAACTAAGCAATAATAATAATAATAAAATGAAAGAAATGTAAGCATCATACATTTGCTTGAATGTTGTTTGTTTTACATTCACAGAAATTTGTCATTATCTTTTTCATGGCATACGAAGAATGGATAGATAAATCTCAAATATATCTTGTCAAAATGAAATGGATAAGAAGAGGGATTAGAAGTGCAAGCCAGTTGCCGGTGTGATCCAGATTCTGACCCTGGTACCAGTGAAGACCTTGCATATCTTATTTGACCTTTGCTCCCCTCTGATGGATGGGGCTGTGGCACCAGGAGATTGTATGCTTGGGAAGGAAGGGAGCAGGCAACACACCCTCTCTTCACTTGTCAACACACCCTCTCTTCACTTGTCAACACACTTAGGTTCCACATTTGAGAAAAATTGACATTATGTGAAAATGGAGGATGAGGCCATCACCACATGACTACCAAACTGCTGAAAGTCCGAGACCAGCCGGGTTGACTTGTAACTGGAAGCATCCCAGACAGAAGAGTCTTACCTCACAACTTGGTGCTCATTAATGCCAAGCAAGTACTGTTAATGTACAAAAATATTTTGATAGTATATTTTTAACTATTGTCATATGGGAAATGAGAGTGTGGCAGTCAGTAGGTGAGTCCAGGGTAGATGGTTAAGCCTGTGAGTGCTGGAGCTGGTGGAGAATATTTGGCTTCTTTAGGTCTTGTACGTTTTCCGTCTTTGACAGGTGCGGTATTCTCATTTTCCATCACTCTCTTTAGTGGAAAACATTTCTGTCTTTCTCCCCTGCCAGGTTTTCTCCTTAGACAGGATGTAGCAGTCACAGACTTTACTGTAATTTCCACCTAACCTATTTGCAAAGCACTTAGCGGATAATCCCATATTTAAATGGCAGAACATTCAACTCCAGTTGTAAGATTATACAATAATAAAAACAGTTACTAAAGAGGTGGTGGGGAGAACAGATAATTAGTCCAGTCCTAATTCTATCCTAATACATGGTCCAACCCTAATAGAATGTATTGTTAAAATGTATTGGCATAATCAAATCAAATCGTGGGGATAATTGCAATTAAAGGAAAGTATAACAGCAATGAAATAACGCAGTGTGAACATTTTACCAAGTTTCCAATGCCGAGCAGATGGTTAGTTTCTTCATTCATTGGATAATGTTCCAATGCCAGAAATAGTATGTTCAAGATGATGCATATGACAAGGGCAAGATCAGTAAATGGGTCCATTATAATTTTATGGACAAAGTCTTTCAATTTTAGCCAACAAGGAGAACAATTCCAAATCAAGAATGTTTTAGCAAATTTGTACCAACACAATGGACATGTTTTCCCGGCTTCTTTGACACCTGAAAGAATAGAAACACTAAATGTTACAATGTATTTTGTTTTCGTTCCTAATTAGTGACCAGGATTTGACTTTTTGAAAGTAGTGGAATGTTTGAAACTAAACTTCTGTGTAGAATTAGCAAATTAAAATTTACTGTTAATAAAAAGTATAACCAAGTTCATTTCCTCTATTTCGATCATGCTTCCTGAGGCAAATTGTAGATTGGAAGCAAAACAAAGAAATATCTCCTCCAAACACAAATATGAAATGTAGTTTCAAATATGATGATTTATATTTTCAGGATTTACAAATTTTTAAAAAGAAATGCTTCTTGATAATGTCCGTCATGAAGCACGCTCATTATATATTAAGAAAAAGCAAGCAGAAGTCTAGAAAGGCCTGAGATGTCAATCCTACATACACCCACTCTACTCGTGGTCTCAAGTTATACTTCCATATAGTTTTTAATGTTAAACAAAGACATTTGGCCAACTCTGGCAAAGCTATTCAATATTTATGAAAGTAGGCTTATCAAATTCATCTGTATTTTCCTTCTTAATATTCGCACCTTAGTACTTACTGTTCATTTGCCCTCAACTAAAATTCTGAAAAAATTGTAAGATTTATTTAAAAGTGACAGCGAGCTTCTTATTGATAATACCTTCCATACTGACTAAGTAATTTTGGGTTTACCTTCTTTATGTCTGAGTGTAGCATCATCCAACATATCCACGGTGGTGCTTACAGAGGTTGAAGATCTTTTCTTCATTTCTATTTGTGTGGTTTTGTTCTGAAAAGAAATTTGATGAGTCTAATACTGGCTTAAGGAGCCTTGACTTGGTTAAGTACTTGGCTTCCAGCCAGCAGTCACTAGTTAAATCCCACTAACTGTGCCACAAGAAAGATATGTTGCAGTCGGCTTCCATAAAGATTATAATTCTTGAAACCCTGTTCAGCAGTTCCCACTCTGTCTTACAGGTTCACTGTGAGTTGGAATCTATTCGAGCGCACCCATCATTAACAATATTGAATGTTGTCATTTGTATCCACAGATCAAAACTGCAACTCTAATAAACCAGCTATGGTGTTTACATCCACTCCTTCTCTACTTCCTAAAGGGAGAGACCTGACAGAAATAATAAACAAAACCAAAATAAAACAGAAAGAAGAAAGCAATAATAATATAAAAATAAAGAATGGAAAGAATAAAAACACCAACCATATTTTAAAATCCAGAATTTTTTTCAGGAAATGTGTGTGGGGGTGGGTGGGGAATTGAGGAGCAATCAGTGGATATGAGGGAGGCGGTAGGGAGCATTAGAGCTGATTGTATGTATAAGTAGTTTTAGAAGTGATTTAACTTATGGAAATTTATAATATGTGACTATTATATCAAGAAAACTTTTAAAAGAAAAAAGAAACCAAACTTGACCTATTGCTTCCATGGCTGAAGGAGGAAGAATTTTGGCATTGAGCTCGTTTTACTGGTGGTGGAACAATTTGGAGAGGGATAACAGTAATGGTTGTTCAACACAAAGAGTATAATCAATGGCAATGAATTATACAGGTAGAAGTTGAATTGGTGAATGTTTTGTTGTGTATATTTTCCCCAAATTGAAAAAATATTACATGAATAATATGAGTCTGAGGAAAAAGAAAATGTTCTAAAATGGATTGTAGTAAAGATTGTATAACACTTCTTGAAATGGTTGAACTACTGAATTGTATGATATGTGGAAGACGTGCCAATAAAACTGTTAAAAAAGGAACCTGGGAAAATACAGAAACAAAGAGAAAAAACTCTAAGCAGTACTATAACTTTGTTGAAAAGGTTATTCTAGAAAACTTTCTGGGTTCCATTACTGATGACTTTAGGATTATTTCACAAATATATGCGCATTAAATTAAAGAGTATTATGATCACCTTATACTACAAGGTCAATTATAAAAGGAGACAAGGCTGTGTATGAGTAATAGTATCTATTTTTGATATTGCACAATCTAATAGAATTTTGCAATTCTCAGTTGGTTAGCACATTACTGAGGAACAACAAACTGTTGTGAAACTTCTCTGTGGGGGAGATATGCAAAAGGAAGCATGCGATCTTCTTCCTAGCATCTAGCAAGGGTTACTCGCAGGGTTCAGCTCAGCCTCAGCCTTGCTTGCTATCCTGCAATTACGAAGATGTAATTACCAACGATAGCTGGTTGGCGAAGATGGCGTATCAAAGCTAAGATGTCAATTCTGAAGAACAACCTTTTTGAGCTCAAGTAAACTTCTACATTTCTCTCTGCTTCTATTGTCTCTCTCCTCTACTGCACATATCACGGTTTCATTTTTTTTTTCAGAGGGCAAACCACCAAGTAGTCAATCTCTAGCTTCTCATTTTGTCAATTCCTCCTTCCTACTTCTTCCCTGACATATTTTAAAACACATTTCAGACATCTTATACTTTTCAACTATAGGATTTTCTGGTAAGGCTTGTTTTTAAAAAATCATGATACCATTATCACAAAAGATTTTTTTAAAGAAATTTCTTAAGGTCATTCAATATCAAGACCAGTCTCAATGTTTTCACTACTCAAATATATTGTTATAGCTGATTTATTCAAGTCAAAAGTACATTATTTAACATGTGATTTTAATTTATTTTTCTAAATGTCATTTATTTAAATATACTGGGACATTTATTTTATAGAACTGTCTACAGTATAGCACCAGTATAGTAACAGAATTTGGCTGATGTTTTTTTTTAGTGTTGTTTCATATATTCTTTCCCCTATGGTTCCTGAAAAAAAAATCAGAGTTAGAGGCTTATTAGACTCAGTTTCAAATTTTGATTTAAACACATTTTCAGTGATATTTTATGTTTCATATTTATACATTAATAAGCACATATTATCTAACTGTCCCAGAGCTACAATTTTTGTTTATGGTAATATATAATGTTTTTTTTCATCAGACTATTTGTTTTATGAAGGTATACATTGTATCTATCTTTAATTAAAAAAACCATCATCTCTATGGCTTAGTCCAATGTCTAGGACATAGTAGATAGTCAAATTAATTTTAATTGATTAAGTAGATGCACTATAAGGTTGTTACTTTAGTTGGAGAAAATATTTGTATTCATCATTGTACATATTTCATTCTCTTTTTCAGAATTTGCCAATAGGTGGCCATTCATAAGAAAATTTCTGCCCACACACTGTGTGTTTTATAGAAAATTATCATTTCAGCATTGAATTCCACACCGAACTCACTGCCATTGAGTCGGTTCTGAGTCTTAGTGGCCCTATGAGACAAAGTACAGCTGCCCCTGTGAGTTTCTGAGGCTGCAAATCTTTATATTAGAAAGCCTCCTAGATACTAATAAGGGTAGATCCAAACTTAAACTGAATTTTCCCAATTAGGATAGATGTGACCCTGGACGGAGACACTGAAGACAAGCCTGGTTGGCATTCAGTACATGCTATAAGCCATTGTTTTTAATTATCCCTAAAATAAAGATACAAGAGATCTGGTGTCATAGTGTGGGTTGTTATGTGTAGGGCTTCTAAGTCACCACAAGGTCATCAGTTTGAAACCAGCAGCTGCTTCCCACAAGAAAGAAGAGGCTTTAAGCTCCCTTAAAGAATGACAGTTTAGGAAACCCACAGCTCTACCCTGTCTGAAAGGGTAGAACTACTTGATAGCAATGAATTTTTGGTAAAATTGAAATATAGCAAAATATTTAAGCATTTTATTCTCCCAATAGACTGCTGTTTGCTTTTGGCCAATTGTTTAATATTGGCCAGCTCTGAATTTACAAGTTTAAAGATGAACCCTCTCCTCTCTCATATGCCTCTCTCATATGCCATCCTACATCTTAAAGGGTTGTCACAAGGAGAGAATGTGATATTTTATGTAAAATATTTAGCATTTTTTCTGATTCACAGCAAATAATTGGACATATTACATGATAATGGTATTGTTTTTAAATATTTTATTTCTAAAATGTGAGTTTTTTCAACGATGAACACTTTTGTTCAAGTGTCCCTACTGTAGACTTCAAAGGGTGATAGTTTCAGTAAACTCTAGCATTAATATAACATATAGCATTGACTCAAACCAAAACACACCATCACAGCACCGCTATAGGACATCGATACTTTTGATGATGATCTTTGGGAGTGTCTGAGTTCAAATTACTGACCTTGTGGTTAATAGTCCAACATGTCTTTACTGCCGGGTTCCTTATCATATGAGCATGTTATCATGCTTCTGCCAGTAGTTATTTGTAATATACTTTCAATTGATATATATAATCTAAGAATGGTGCTAAGAGTTTCACCTGCATTCTCATTATAACAATAAAATATGAGACAGGCTCTAAATGTACATACATTTTATAGACAGACGATTCTGGAGATTGGTAAATTTAAGGGACTTGGCAAGTAACTTACATTTAGTAAAAGGCTAATACAAGCTGAAATCTGTACTGACCTTGCTGAGAAATTGTGCTTTTAGCCAATCGAATCTGCTGCTTTCTTATAATGTTTCATCTAAGTAATCCCCCTGCAACTCCAACACAGAGTTGGAATCTTAAAACTCTTAGCTCAGTCACCTAAAGAGTTCTAAGTATGTTCGATTTAAAATCTTGTGAAAATGGTATTCAGTTTCATTTCCCAGAAAACTTCTGCATCACAAAATGCCCTAGTACTTTTCCTTCATAATTGAAGGAAAAAAAAATCCTTCATAATTGAAATGTTTTACATTAAAATCAGAAAAGCATTGTGGGATTCACAATGAATGGAGATATTTGGGATTTCGGAAATACACCAAGTTCTTTAAAAACAGAGTTACTAGAGTAGCTCATCTTGGGATAATAAAAGTATTGTTGCCCTCTCGGAAACATTTGTGGATAGTTGTAAGCCCTTGAAGTTCTGAAATGCCAGTTCAGAACAAATTGTACTTTCAACACATCATTTAGACCCTATTCACTGCAGCTGAAGTACCCCAGACTCACTGCTAAATACAGACAGCTTTTGTCAGTTGATTTTCCATGACTTGCTCATGGGTGATATAATGGTGATAGTCAATAGACTCCTTTTAACTGATTCTTTCCTTCATTTGGTCTATAATGGTTTCTTGTTTCATTGGTATGCGTGTTACAGACCTTGTGGACACAAGTCTTTGTCGAGAACATGTCATTTGTACTAGGGGGCTTCAAAAAGGTTGTGAAACGTGGAGTGAAAGGGGAATGGAATTTTTCCACAAACTTTTTGAAGCTCCCTCGGATAACCTGACATCACTGCATTCAGGTACCACCTTTGTTAGAATGACTACCTTAGAGCTGCTTCCCTGATGATGAATGGCTATGGAAGTAAGTCAATAATTTCCACCTTTTCACCCACACGCTAGAAGCCAGACTCACCGTCCCGGAGTGAATTCCGACTCCTCGCAACTCTACAGGTCTCTAAGCGTTCACCCACACTGCATTGTTGGCATCACTGAAGCCTCGCTCCAGCTTTTCTACACATCCCAACCACTGCCAAGGGGGCCACTAGCCTGTATGTTTCTCCCTCCCTGTCAGTCCTCTTTGGAGTGAGGGTCCTGGGTATGACCCTCTGGTATCCTTCGTCAAAGTCCTTGGATAGAGCAAATCATTTGGACTCGGATCCTAAATAAGAAAGTAGGGAACAGTTCTTCCCTCAAGTTAGGAGTAGCGAGCGGAGCAGTTCTACTCTGTAACAGATGGGTTGGCTCAAGGGCAACTTAAAAACAAAAAATTCTTTGTCTTCTGCCTCAGTTTTGATCCTTTGTTCTTCCTACCAGATCAAGCCGAATCTGAGGTAGCCGTGTAAGCTCACAAGGTCCTGCAGATATAAAAACACTACTTCTGCTGGTTTCCCTTGATCCTATTCTTTTTGTAAGCATATTTGTGGCAGAGTGTGCGTTTTCAGAGACAATTTTACACAATTTCCTAAATTCTGATGATGCTTTTATATTTATATACTCAATCTTTTGCTATGAAGTGAAAGGTTTGCAGATGCTCCCACTCAGTACCAAAGTAGATGCACATTAAAGTAACCTTCCCAAGTTCCAGTAATCACAGACTGAATCAGCCCATTCATACAACAAATTCTCACAACTGCCTCAGGATGTACAGTGTCTTTCCTCTGAAAATAACTAGGAAGCCAATCAGATCATCTTTCTTCTATTTTTACAACTCTAGTAGTTTAATTTTATCCATTACATGAAGATAAATGAACTTTAAAAAAAGATAGTACCTTCAAAATGTATCAGCAGAAGTGATTTGCATTTAAAAAATAAAAGATCTAAATTATTTCTATATTAGAAATGTCTTTAAATATGCTGCCTGCTTTCACCACAGTGCATTAAGGGAAGAGTGTTTGGTAGAAAAGGGACACCTCATATACATCAATATTGATCTCCAACCCCTACCACACACAAGCACTGAGCCACTAATAGAAGGAAACAGGAAGGAATGAGATTTTCGTAGAAAAACCACATTAACTTTTATTCAATATTCTCACAAGTTTCAAATCCCTCATATAATGCCAGGGCTTGAAATAATACATCTATTGTTTTAAAAAGTGTTAAAAAAATCATCCTGAAAACTCATCCTACCTGGGCAGCAGCTTTTCCTTCTTGAAGTTCTTTTAAATTCTGCTGATCGTTTGGCTGCATCTTCTTCGCTCTTTCAGCCCTTTCCTGCTTTTCTTCGCCATGGGCCACAGCAAGGATGCCCAAGAACAGACTTGCCATATAAAAAGCAAACCAAAAACTTACCACAACAAAAAATACCATGTAGATTTTCCCCGAAGCATAAAGAATCTAGTGAAAGGTAGAAAACAGGACAAAAGAGGAAAGCATGATTTATCTTCCCATGGCCTCCTGTTTTAAAATGACAAATGTAATTTTGTTATGAAAGGGATTCAGTCTTAAGTGGAAGGTAACAAGACACTCTAAGTGCGAGCTCTCCCTGAGGAAGCCAATGACAGGCTCTCCACATTCAGACAGATCTAGGTGAGGGCGCCGGTGCACAACCAAGGCCTTAATGACTCATTTATATTTGGGGTGACCATTTAATTCTTGCCTTCATCAAGAAAGGAAACAGTTTAAAGAAAAGAAATCTCATTTTTCCAAGCTAGATAGTTTGTACATGGAAGGTTATTTCCTATGGAGCAGGATAAATACAGGAAAATTTTCAAGCCAAAGACTTTCTTCTGATTATTCTCATATGGGGAAAACACAGCAAGGTGAAAATGAGGGCTACACAGATAAGTGGGACGTGGACATCTGTTATGCCTGTCAGATGCCTATTCTGATGATAGACCAATGGGAAAAATCACACGGAAAATTGATGTAATTTACTTACATGAAGTCATCAAAGTAGGCTATATTTATGGCTAGAAAAAGACAAAATTTTAGATTTCTAAACTGAACACGAATGAGCTTTCACTTCATTGCAATTAGATAGATCAGAAAATGTAAAGATCTGTAAAAATTTACATAGAATATTACAGTCAAAAATATCTTTAACTGGTTTAGCCTTATTGAGTAAAAGTATGGGAATAAAAATAAAGAAAACAAATAGGAATCGTTTTCATTTTCAAACATCCATTTCAATGAATAGATAAGTATTCACTACAGAAAATATTGTGTTGATACAAAAGTCTTTTGAATAGATACAAATAATCAGAAATTTAAATACCCTATCACAAATACTGAGTTATTAACCTAGAATATATTAGACTTTTTAATGTATTTTTAGTAAACTCCATGATGGCAGTGAATCAGCTATTTTTGATTTGCTAAATGTTTTACAATGTCATTAGCTCTTATTACCGTTATGTATTCAGTAGTCAGTAAAGGTATTTTGAAACATTCCCTGCTGTGTATACACATTCATAAAATACTTTATGCACCTTATCTCATTCACTCTGTTCAATTTATTTGTTGCATTTGCTATTAATTCCAATCTATTGAAGAAGAACGTAAAACAAGAAAGACAAATAGCTTGCTGGTGGAAGATATCAAAGTATCTATTTTGTTAAAACAGGAAGTGTACAAATTCTAGTTATAGTAAATTATAGCGTAAAAATTGAAGTCCATCATAGACCCCACTTCCTAAATAAATTTGCTTTGGAGAGCCAATTATACACATAAAGATCTTGGCATATGACATGAGCATGATTTATAATAATTCTTAAGCGTATCTACATTCTTTGAGAATTCAGTTTTTGGGTGCTTTTTTTTTCTCGCTTTTGAACCCATGCATCAACAAAGATATTTGGGTAAAATAAATATTTATTGACAGAGCAGTGAATAATATTTTTAAGCATAAGTTGTATTCTTTGGGAATAATTGCCTAATTTTCCTACAATTTAGACAATGCTCCAAATACAAATTCAGACCAAATCAAAGCCCACTTATTTCTAAGCAAACCTTTATGTCTATTAATGCGTGGAGTTGAGACAAAATTCTAAGGCCAGGACACTCTCGGGACGGTCCCTACTTCTCAAGCAGAGGGGAATAGTTTGAGTAAGCCAAGCTGCCTGGTCTTTGTGATGCTGCATTTTGCTCCACATTTTTCTTCCATTCTATCCCAGAAGCTTCTAACTGTGGTCCCTTTCAGAGCAGTTGGTAGTGGTGGCCAGGCACCATCTAGTTCTGTTGGTCCCAGAGTCCTGCAGATGGATGTTCACATGGCCCCGCAGTTCATTGGACTCATTCTTTCTGTGTGCTTTTGAATCGCATCATTCGTCTTTCCTCCAGCAAAGGAGACCAGTAGCTGCACTGTACATATGCACGCATATCCCATCATGTGCCTTATCAACCCAATAAAATCATAGACCTCTCAAACTAGGATTCATTTCTTCAACTGTAAACAAGTTTGTGATTCAGAACAGTTTATTTTATCTAGTATTTCTTGCTTTTAACCATATTGATGATACAGCAGTATGCACATTTTATGGAGTGTTAAATCTTCCAAAGGAATGATACCAAACCTCAAACCAGATCCATGGCCATGAAATCGATTCTGATTCATTGTAACCCCACACAGGCTTCCAGAGATTGTGAATCTTTGGGGAAGCACACTTTGACATTTATTTGTGTTATAGCTTTCAGGATGATATATAGCCTATCTGATTATTAATGTCCTATCATTAGTGTGTATTTCTGCAATAGACAGAAACTCATACTAACCTTATAGAATTGTTGCAAAGATTAAGTGAAATCTCATTAAGAACAGTTACCTACAAATAGTTTTGCATGCATGATTTGACAGTAATTCTGCCAGCCCCCTTTTCAACCCTAAAATTCTTCTTGCTCTAAAAATGTAAGACGCTACACTGAGCATTGTTTTAGTCATGTGGGGGTCTCGCATCTTGTTGAAGTGCAATGAAGCAGTTTTTATCTGTTCTTACCTGGTGATAAAGGGCTTCAGGATAGTCCTGGGTCATTAACCGAAATAAGGCCAAAAAGGCCCAGCCAAAATTGTCAAAATTTGTGTAGCCGTAATCAGGGTTTCTGCCAGCTTTTAAACAAATATAGCCTTCAGGACATTGACTAAAGAAAACAAAGCAAAGAAAACTGCTTACTACACACTCTTGGATTATGGATAACTTATAAACACAATGCATTTGCCTATGAAGAGTAGGGCCTCTTTCTTCCACAGAGTGTATTTGTTTTCTCTCCAGTTTCCAAAGAAAAAGCTGCAACTGAGCTTCATGTTGCGTCAATGTAAAGTGAACAGTGTTAATTAAACTTTAAAACAAAAAGTGTCTTACAAATCGTGTGTGCCGAGGCTTTGTTCACGATTTCTTTGCCAGTCAATGTCAAGGTAGCAGCACTTGTGAAAGTATAAATGATGAAAAGTCACTTAAAGAAAAGTAAAACTGTAGTCATTCAGATAATAATTTCCAATTAATCCTCCCTCAAGGACTAGGAGCTGCATTATTTAAGAATGAGAAAACATTGACCCATCGGTAATGTATGAAGGGCACCAGCTCTTCTACAAGAATCAGAGTAAATGTTTATTTCACTTCTCTTCCTGGAGTCATGGTACTTTTACCTACAGAGGAGACTTTTGGGGTTGTGGTCGATGATTACCATAGTTGTTTAATAGATTATTATTATATAGTAATAAAAGATTATTATATAATAATAATAGATTATTATTATAGTTGTTTAAGAGATTAATAGTTGTTTAATAGATTATTACCATAGTTGTTTAATAGATCATGTTTCTCTATAGCCACCCTTTTAATATTGTCCCAACCTACATGATTCTGCTTTGAACAAATGCTGACAGGAAAAAATGGAATGTGACGCAAGCAGAGATTTTAAAAGCGCTTGCGCTTTGGATATTGTACCTCTCTTGAGATCCTGAGACTCTCATTCAAGGAAGCCTGGCTTAGCTCCACTGAGGAGAAGGCTTATGGAGATAAGGCTCTGGAAAAATAAGATCATGGGGAGAAAGGAACCCAACTGCCCCAGTCATACAGCCACTCCAACAAGGTCCCCAGAATTAGGTGAGGCCATCTCGGCTCACCAGCCTCCGTCCTGTTACCGGAGGCTTGAAGATGCACGGGCAATTTTAGGTATGAACAGCAGAAGAATAGCTCCATTGAAGTCTTCCTAAATTGTTGACCTCCAGGATCAGAGCAAAGACATTAGTTGTTGCTGTCAAGTAATTAACTTTGGAGGTATTTTCCCTGGCTGCAAAGAATATCTGTGCTATTAATTAATTAAACTGCATGAACCAGGACACAGCAGTGTTACAGCATCGCACCCCTTTTTCTTTTTGCCTTGAAAGGTACCATTGTGATCCTGACTGTTCAAGACTAGATCTCCGCTTCAAGACCCATTTAAGGTTCTATGTGAATTTGGGATGAACATGGATATAGGAAGTAGGATGGGACAGATAGAGTGTGATGGATTTTGGATGTGAAAATTTAAAGGGCAAACCTAGCAGTAGTTGAGCAAAATACAAACAAACTGCCAAGCAAGCAACCCCAAACCAAACCAAGGGTCACTGAGTTCATTCCAACTCACAGTGACCTGCGCAACAAGCTACAAAACGTCTCCATCACTTGACTATTTAACAAACGGGATCATTCGTGCTTTCCTTCCTTGTGCTCCTGTGTTCAACGTGGCCCTAGACTTTAAGAAAGAGTTGTTTCTACTGATGGGGTGTAAGCCACCCCACTAAAGAAAGGAAATGAATGATTAGGTACTGGTGTGGTCATGGCCCTGCTGGGAAGCACACTTTTCAACCTCATCTCTATTTGAAATTAAAGGACAGCAAGACGTGAGCCATCTCACTAAAGAATTATTTATAAATAAAAGCCAGTAAGCTTTTTTACCACAATAGATTAGTCATAAAAGATAGACAAGGTATAAAATGAATAAAGGGTGGCATATCTTTAATAGGGTTTATTCTTTAAAAGCTCTGACTTAATGGTAGATTTATCATACCTCTCTTGGCAGTTACTAGCTCTGGGCAAAATGAAAATAGAAGATCCTTGTTTAAGTTCCAACTCTGCCATTTGCTAGCTTTTTTTTTTTTTTGATAGCTTTTTGACCTTACTTAATTATTTCACCCATCTACTAATTTTTCTGTAAAGTTTTTGAACAAACGCAATATTACAATCAAATATGAGTCATTATAAAAGCAAGTATCATTGAATAGGTATTTATCGGTTGCAGAGGCTGTCTTGTCAGAATCAAACATTAACACCACTTACCTAGCATCGGTTCTTTTGCCACAAAGCAAAGCATCTCTTTCTCCTTCCAAATAGTAATAGTTTTCCATTTCTGAAAAACAACCGACAACAGGACATTCTACATCTCTAGTCCAGGGATAAGCAGCTATCTGAAGTCCATTTAGACCAGCATAGAAGGTGAACCTCCTTTTCCACAGTCAAAATGAAAGGAGCGGACGTCCGGATCATGTCTTATCTAGAAGTCTGTTCTAGCATCTGACGCACAGGACAAACAATGGTGGCAGTCCCCATGCTTCCCTGCCCCCAAAGGAACAAAACTCAACAGAAAAAGGAAAATTTCAATAAAAATCCAGGTTCCGGGAAGCCCACTTCCCTGAGGTGTGGTCAGCTAACCTGTAGGAAACACTCCAAAGAGTAAGCCATTTGAAACACGAAGACCTTTTCCTTCCAGAGTTGATTTCTGATCATCTGGTGAGCAAGCTGATACATTCTTCTATCTCCCGGTTAAATACGCATTCTCCTGCCACCATGAAGCTCAGTCTTCTACTGGGAATATTCAATGCCAGTTGCTTGACTCTGTGTCCTAATTTTAATACAACCCAACCTAATGTAAAGCACACTCTGTAGACCTGGCCCACATATGCTAATCTGCCTTCCAGCAAGTGTCAGTCATGCATTTATATGTTCTAGTCACCAGGGCTGAGGGGATGCACATCTAGGGGCATCGATTTTATGCTCCAAACTTGAATTACAGAAACCAAACCCATAAAAGAACTCTGATAAATAAAACATATAAAACTGAATTCTCCACATTCAAATTATGTCGTGTTAATTTGTCCCATAAAATCATTTTAGAATATATATTTTTAATTCAATAATAGATTTATATTATTGATTAAACTTTTGCAATGATGGTCAAAAAATGTTTTCATGAAATAGAATTATTAGGGTTGGGCAAATTTATGATGATAGTCTTTAAAAAGTGATTTCTTTGAACATAATACTGTATATTAACAAAGGGAAAAGAGAACCTTTTTATTAACAACAATCCATGAATTAGAGAATCATTGCATTTTTAAAGTAGCATCAAAGGAACCTCAATATTTCTATTGATGAGATGTAATATAATTATATTCTAAGAGATATAAGAGGTAAGCACCATCCCTTTAATCCTCAGTATTAGATGTAAAACCATGACACAATCACATAGGAAAATATTTCATATAATCATATTCTAGTACTTTTCTACCATCTGTAATTGTACCTGTGCTGAGGAATAAAGCATAGGGTAAAAGTTAGTACGATTTGGTTTAGAACATATTGAATTCAGTGTATAAGATGGGGAGCCTTACAAAAGCCTGTGGAAAATGGAATACAAAAAATAACAGCATTTTTCCGTATACATTTTGGAGCTCCTTTCTATGTGAATGTAATATGGAAGAGCTCTATAACTTCTCAAACGCTTATTAATGATTGTTCAAAAAAATTTTCCTCTGAAAACTCTCAGAAAAGATGTGCATTTTCATAGGATCAAACAACAACAACGATCCAGTGAGAGGATGGTGAAAGGGTTTGAGGACCAAAGCAAACTGGGTTGGAATCCTGGCTTCCTCTGCATCTAGTTCTTTGAGCCTTCTTGGGTGTGAGGGCTAATTAGAGCTCCTCTCTCAGACTTTGGCAATGAGATAAAGCACAGACATAACTTGTATGTGAACTGAACAGTACTTATGAGACGTTATTGTTATCATCTTCACTATTGTTCATCATCTAACAAATTACAGCTCAAAGGCTTTTAAATGGAAACTATCATTGGAATACAGCAATTGGGATGCCTTATTATAGGATTTCTTTTTTTTTTACTTTTAAGGCCATCTTAAAGCTTTCGATGAGGATATCATCTTTTGGAAGGAACAACTTTAGAATAACGGTATAAGGGGAAGGCTCTTTAGCACTCTCTGATGACATTTCAAGTAAAATTTTGGTTTTATTTATTTATTTTTCTAATGATAAAATGTGCCACGTCTAGGAATTCCAAATTGAGGTTCCCCTAATTGCACTGTCGGAGACTGGGAACTTAACATAAAGTGGAGGCAAATTTGAACAGGAGTGCAGAGTTCAGCATTTCTACGGAGTCTCCTCTGTCTTTCAGAAGTATTTGACCTTTGAGGTGGCAAGTTCCTCTTACCTCGACTGTAATACGGGTTTGCAGTTCTGTTGTACAGAGTCCCATTGTCACTTTCCTGGGGCCACCGCAGACACTTATGCTTCAGGTTGCCCATGAAGAGCCCCATCCCCATCAGCGAAAATACGCTCAGAAAAAGCAGAGTTAGGGCAATAGCACCACCGAGTCTCTTCCAGCAATCGTTACTCAGCTTCCCCACGAAGGACTTCACACCTGAGAAGACAAGGTTCGTCTCTATAGAGCAAAATACTTCATCCATGCAGCCGTAACCAGCACGGCTATTGTAAGTGCATGCCCTATTTCAATCAACAAACTTCTGTCGGATTTTCTTTATCTCGGTCTAGTAAGTAAAGAGAATGAAAAACCAAACTTTGAGGTTTTGATTCATAATGCCTGGAAAACGACTTCAACTGCAAAATTTCAAATTAGTTATGGGTTTCTGTGTGTTTACTCAATAAAGAGCAGTCGGTTTCTTCTCTGGATAACGGTATGCCTATCATCTACCAAGTTTCACAGCATAAAGAGGGGCCAGAGTTCAGTACAAAAATGGGCTGAAAGTGTTGTGGAAACAAGAAATGGTTTGAAATAATCATATTTTATTCTCCCTTTCACTAACCTTAGGAGAATTCAATTTTTGGAATTGAATTGTGAACTTATGACCAATTTTAGAAACATTATTAGAAAAAGAATATTATAAGATCATCATGTATGCAGCCTGTGTGTATATGAAAACATTTATTAATCAGGCATTCAACTTTCAAGTTTGTTTTATTTAAGGATATTATTATTTTTACTTATTGAAGAACATGTGCTAAATGCTAAAAAATTGAAAACAAGAAATAACCAAGAAAAATAAAATGTATTTATTCCTCATAAATGACAATTCTGCTCACATTCTTGTGAATAAACATGCATTGTCCCTCCTTCCTGGTTCTTCCTCCTCTTCCTGTGTCTCCCCTTCCTATTTGGTCTGAGTGTACGTAGGATTCTAATAACTACTGAACAACAAGGGTAGAAAATATACTAGCTCTGTGACATTGAGTAAATGATTTAATATTCCTTCACCCCATTTTTCTTATCTTTAAAATGAGTGATGATATATTTTGTATACTACTGTGAGCAATGAAGATCTATTTTTTTAAATGGCCTGTTCAGATAAGTTAATTTCTTGAGTGAAATAGGGTAGGGTAAAAATAAAGTCATTAATGTAGTCAGAGAAATGTCATACCTGGGTTACATAAGTAATTTTCATTGATGCCAAGCTGTCAGGCATATTGATTGCCTACATTTGCCACTTAGAATTACATCATTAATATTTTTCTTTATAAGTAAGTGTTTTACTGGAATTGGCATTTCTACTTCAAAAACATGACAATATTTAAGTAGTGATTTATATGTTTATATTGTTTTTTGACTCACTCCATGCAATCAAATCTGTGTATTTCCTCAAATCTTCATATTTTAAAAAGTCATTGCCAATTTATTAGAAAAACATTGGTTCACTTTACCAATGTAATTCCTGTGATACCATTATCATGAATTATAATTAGATCATGAATTATTTTAAGCAAATACATTTGTATTACTGTGCTTTCAGTGTATGGTCATGATTTTCCTATGGAAATTTTCTTTTCTTGTTGCTTGTCAGTTCCAATTTTACTTTTCCTCTTTTTTATAGGAAACTTTATCTAATTCATATTGTTGGTTGTGATTATGCTTAAGAATAGTAATTCTAAAATGAAAGCATCATTCTATCTATCTTTGTATCCACACTATATCTATGTGTCTTGTGCACTTATAAATTTTGAAGATAAAATATCACCATTAAATTTGAACATAATCAATTTTATTAATAGCTTTATTAAGATTTTGGTGTTATCTTTAGATAGGTCTGAGCCACATGACAATTTTTAATTTAGATTTCATGATATAACTTTCCCCATCATTTACTGCTCACCTTTCAGTTTTCTTTAGTTTAATATAAATTTATGTCTAATTTCACATTAAAGTTTCTCCTTCAAAAGAAAAAAAATCAACACAATAACATTTTCATATGTTAGCTTTACCTTTGCATGTGTTCTTAACATTTTAATTTTTATGTATCCTTTACGATTTGCTATATTTCCTATCATTTCTAAGTGAATGCTTTTCCTCTACTAATCATATTTCAGATAAAATATATCTGAGATGGTCTAATTTAACATGTTTACAAGCAAACATAAAAATCTCAACTTCAAAAATACCACTGTATTGAAGTTTCGGTAATGAAATTGTTAGGTTCGAGCTCCCGGCCAGGAAGGGGTGGTACACCTAGGCAGGCATTACACCTGGATGGGCCCATCTAGGCCAGGTGAATTTGATTCAGCCAATGGGGTCAACCAGTACCATCGACCACGCCTCCCAATGGGGCTCTGTAAAGGCGGAGGTTTTGCTCTGGTGCTCTCTCTCCCAGCGGCTCCTGCACCCAGGCCAAGCCGCATACCCTCCGTGGAGCAGAGCCTGTCTGGCTGGTGTTCCATTTACTCTGAACCCGAAACTGTGCTGCTTCTAACTTTCATAAAACTCATTTGGATCACAAACCAGGTCTCGGCCTGAATTCTTTCAGGCAGGGAGTCAAGGACCGAGGTATATCTCTCCTATGAGAGAGTGAGATCTAACCAAATGACTCTATTTCTCATATTTCCCTTACGTTTGAGTTTCTATTAAATAATTTAGGAATTTTAACCCATTCATTTCTTATAACTTTTGTATTACATATTGTCTCAGGATAGGTAGTCCTGGCGACACAGTGGACTTACTAACGCCGATGTCAACGGTTGGAACCTGGCGCTCAGAGGGAAAAAGAGGAGCTGCAGGCAGATTGCCAGTCTACTCCGGCCTATAAGGTGACTGGTTAGACATCTCGCCCAGGGCAGTGGTTTGAGTTTTCTCATAAAGGTAGGTTCCCAGACTTATTTAACCTACCGCTACCTTTTCAGAAAAAAAAGGGAAAGGTTTTACTGAGTGACACCTGGCAATTAAAACCGTTTGGACTATAGCTCGTCATTCAGGATTAGTGTCATTTATTATGATGATGCAGCCCGCCCCTGGATTGTTCTAGTGCCCCCAGGGAGTGGTATATAGTCCACCCAGGAAACACTAAAAGTAAAACAAAAATAACCAAACTCATGGCCATCGAGAGACACTCTAAAAACTCCAAACTCACAGCCATTGGTCCGTGCTGACTCATAGTGACCCCTGTGGGTTTCTGAGACTGTAACTATGGGAGTAGAAAACCCAGTCGTTCCCCCACTGAGAGACTGGTGGTTTCGAACCAGGGATCACAGGTCAACGTGTAATCACTATACTACCAGGGCTCCTTTGGGAAACATGAGGAAGGGCTAAATTCTGATTTCTGCAAGGAGTTGTCGGGGAAGCAGATTCATGCAAAACAAAGAGATGCGTCTGGAGTGGAGGATGGATGGGGATTTCTACTCCCATAAAAAGTTACAGCTTTGGAAACTCACAGGGGCAGTTTTACCATGTCCTGTAAGGTCGCTAGGAGTTGGTATCAACTCGATGCAGTGAGTTTGGTTTGGATTTTGCTCTATAGGAGCCCTGGTAGTGTAATAGTTACACACTGGATAGGTAACTGCAAGGTCAGCTGTTCAAGCCCACCAGGAGCTCTGCGGAAGAAAGCTGAGGCTTTCTTTTCTCAGAAAGAGCTACAATCTCAGCAACCCACAATGGCACTTCTACTCTGCCCTGTAGGGTCACTGTGGTTTGGACTCCACCCAATGTCAGGAGTGGGGAGCATTCTGGGGAAGAAAGACTTACAGAACGGCTTGCATGCACCTACAGCCAAGAAAGCCTTAGGAGCAATTCTACTCTGAGGTCTCCATGCATCGAACCTAGATGGAGGGCGGCTGGTGAACTAAAGAAACTCGAGTCCTAGTTTGGTGTAAACAAGGCTCAAATTCTATCTTTCTCAGAAACGTAAGGAGAATTTTAAAAATTCATATTTAAGATTTGAAATTAAAACATAATAATGTAATTTTATTGATTCCCTGCATTGACATTATACATATGGAAACCACATTACATGAATAACTGTCAACTGTGATTTTTTTCACTTTTCCAAAAATAGATTTAAATATTACAAATGTAATGGTTTTATAGAAACATTTTATTCAAATATCATATACAATGACTTCATAGAAATACATAAAATAGAAACATATTCTCCAGCAACAAGAGGAGAGTACAAAGTACATGCATAAAAATGAAGAAAAGGAGTTGAAAGCTATATCTTACCTTGACATAAAGGTATAATTTTCAAAATCCTCAAAGTTCTTGCAGTAACAAGTATTGAAGAAGAGCCTGGAAGTGATCTCATTATAAACCTGTGTAATTAAATTAAAGTTATTCAAAATTCACATTGGGTCCATGCTACTTATTTTTGGCCTTTTATGCTCTTTGAAACATACTTTTTAAAACAATATTTTTAATTATTTTCCTTCCTCCTATTCTTTAATTTTACATAGTTTTATTATTGATTACAAGGGGAAAGATTTCTAAAGTGCAAGGTAGGCAGATAACTATCCAAGCGCTTACATTATGAGAGTTTTTAAAGTTTGATATCAGTATTACTCTTAAGTCCATAGCAAATTGTGTGTGTTATATTCACAAATATTTTCCTATATAATTACTGAAAAAAATAATTTTTAAGGGATGATATTTATTTGAAATATTTAATATTTAAACTTTCAATCATGATTGTGGCTAATGATGAATATTGGTATCAGTGATGGTTGTAGAAACTGTATGTATAGCAATTAAGAGTCAAAATCTAGACTCTAGTATGTACTAGCTATACAATTTAAGGAAATTACTTAATCTTCCCTGTCTCAGTTTCCTCAGCTACAAATAGGACTTGTGCCGCCTGATTGAGAGGCTTTCTACTCGAGGTTCAGTAAATGAATGCATGTAAAGTACTTAGAGGGTGCCTGGCGCATAGAAAGCTCTTCCTAAGTTTCAGCTTCTGAAGTCACGATGGCACAAATAGTGGGGAAAGTAACGATAACACGTCAATGACATTAGCATCATTTTTTTTAATGGCTTGTAACACAAGGGGCAATCACTTCTTATTTTTACCAAGATTGTTGCTTTTCAAAACCTTGAAAAATTGGGAAGTTGAACATCATTTAAAATAATTTGTCATGGCAATGATAGGTTTTTAGCCACAAAAGTGGGAGTACACTACATAGACGCATTAAAAATATAGACATGTAAAGTGTTATCATTTAGTGTGACACTCCAGACAATGTGTAGGTGTGTGTTTATAATATTTCAACTTTATTGCCTGGCTCTGAAGCAATGTGGGCTAAATGAAATGTAGATTGAGGGCTGTGAGTCACATAAGCCAGGACCCCATCCTTAGTATTCAGCAGTTTCTTAAATTAAAATGCACAATTTAACCTCTATCTTTGTTCCTTTTACTAGAAAACAGAGATAATAGGCCATCATTTTCATTTTCATGATATACTCTGAGAATTAGCTCCCTTGAAGCTGCCTAAAATAAGTCCTTATGATTACAAATTATGGGATATTTATTACATTTTGATAGGCAGTCAACTTTTCAGATCTCTTTGTGAAAAACATTTGTTTAGAAAGATGCTAGATGTTTGCAATTTAGATACTCACTCAAACAAAGTGACACTGAAATCAAGCCAGTTCCAGGGATCACCAAAGAAAGAAAAGGGTCCTGCCCAGATGCCTCTTGCAATGAGTTTAACAAGTATTTCCAATGTATAAATTCCAAGCAAGGTATTCCTGGAGAAAGGTTTTCATGTAAATATTAAAGGTGAGAAAAGAAAACAATGTGAACTCTGATATCTGAATACTCTGTCTTGATAATCTCTGGCAATTGAGAATCATTCATCAGAATGGTGAAAATGGGTGTGTTTGAGAGGTCAAAAGTCAACCAACAAACAGCCCAACAAACTTAAAAATCCATGTGACACTTCACTGTTAGCCTAGGGATGTAGATAGGGCTTCTAGGGTGGGCTCAGTCATAATATATTAGTCACAAAATTTGGCTAGTCCTAGATTAGAGGTGGTAATCTTAGTTATTTATCTAGATATATGAAGAAAATATTAAATACCAACTTTATTTCTCCTAGAATTAACTGAATTGTGAGTATGAAAGACTTATATAAGCAAAAATCCGTTTTAAAAAAAATAGTTTTATTGGCATATACTTCACCTCTCAGACAATTTAATGATTCAACTATACTACAAAGAGTTGCACAATCATCAGCCCTATCAGTTTTAGAAGTGTCTTCTTAAATTTGTTGTTGTTAGCTATTTCTCCCCAGTTATTCTATCCAGTTATTGCCTCTATAGATTTAGCTTTCCTGGATTTCATATACAGAAAATCATACAAAACCCAAACTGGAAGCAAGCTAGCAAACAAACAAACAATTTAAAAAAAACCCTCAACAATGACTAGACAAAACATAGAAAAATCACAATCAAAAAGAAGGCAGAAAATATTAAAAACAAACAACTTTAAAATGAGTCAAAAGGGAGATCAAATGATAAGGTATTCTATTTTAATCTAACTACTTTTGCCATAATTTATTTTATAATCTTTTCTGTCTGAAAGCAAGGCTATTCACATCCCTGGCCTATGTTCAGAGGGATTCACTGTAGACATGACAGTGAATTCACCACACCACGTGTAGACCCTGGAATAGGGTTTGGGTTTCCACTGTCATCCATAGCCGTCGGCAAATTGGGTGTTCACAATATAAGCTCCGATGCCATCCCGTCCTTTGGATTTGGATTTTATTACAATTCTTGGATCGACAGGCTGGTGTGTACTTGTGTACTTAGTTGACACTTCATTTAGATGGCTGCTTGTTTTAAGACAACCTTTAAGACCCGGATGTTATTCTTTCTGATAGCCAGACACATCTGGTTTCTTCCCCTGCTAGTACACCAATATCTTCAGTGATCCTTTCATTGGGCAGAACCATATCATTAGAACTACTTTTTAAAGACACTCGACAATGTTTCAGCTTAGTGCTGGGCTGCTAACCAAAAGCTTGATAATTTAAACACACTCAGCAACTCCATAGGAGAAAACCTCGAGGTCTGTTCCTATGGAATGTACTGTCTGGAATTTCTAAGGGAAATTCTATTCTGTTTCATGGGATCAATATGAGTTAAAATTGATTCAGTGAAATTTAACAGTAACAGCAACCAGTATTTCTCGTGGTGAGTCAGTGTTATATTCACATTCCAACATTAGGCCTGGGACCCAGGAGATAAAGTTTCCAGAAAGCCTAATGACCAAGAAAATGTAATGGTCCTTTCCATCATTGTACTGTAATGCAAGTCAAATTACTCGTGTCCCTCAGGCAAAGGAATATAAGGGAAAAAAGCAGGAAAAGATAATTTACTTAAGAAAAGAAATCAAGGAAACAAAGCAATTAAGTGTGGGGTTTCAATAGGAAGGAAGATCTGATACATGGAAACATTACACTGGGAATAAGTAATTGTCTTTGGAGGAGGACCTCATTTATGTGATATCATGGACATGAATATATAGCTATAGTCCTACATGTTTATAATGTGTAATCCTAGCATGTTGTGAAACACAATATTTAAAAATGAATTGAAACTTAAAAGTCCTGTTAGAGTAATGCTTAACTAAGCATGGGCTACTCACCACAAGGTCAGCACTTAGAAACCACCAGATGCCCCTCAGGAGAAAGATGGGGCTTTCTCTCTCCATAAAGAGTTAGAATCTTGGAAACACAGGAGCAGTTCTACCCTGTCCTGCAGGGTTGCTGTGTGTCAGCACAACTCATTGGCAGGGAGTTTTTAAAATCAAAATGAATGAAAAAGCAGGATAAAATGTCAAAACTGAGTAATACTCTGTGCTCAAATCACCAGCCTTTCACTTAGCAGTCAATTTCTTAACCATAAGTGCCACCTAAGGAAACATATATGTACACACACACAAACATATAATTTTTAGGATATATATATATATATATGAATGGACTTCAAAAATAGAAGTTTGTGGAAAACTAAGAGATAATGGAGATTTTTAAAGAATTTTTGAAGCCTCCTCAAGTATATGTGTATGTGTGTGTTTATAGGATTATCTTGGAAAATTCATTCATTGAGGTGTATATATAAATCTTATATTACATATCAATGATAAACATATAAAATATGACTACTACATTTTGTTATTACATATCACTTAATACAATCTATCAAATATAATTATATATATCAAAATGATATAACTTACTCCAATATTGTTATCCAATCTACAAAATTGTTTTTGGTCATGAATATGCAATCAGTCAGGACACTAATTAAAATGAACAGTCGGAAAAAGGTAGACTTCAGTCAAGGAATAACAGATAATACTGTTGGAAAATACATATTCTCTAATATGTTTTATTTATACACATATCAGATAAAATAGTTGTTAATGTTGCAAGATACATACTTTTTCTAACTGCAAAATAATGGGTTTGGTGTTTGTTACTATTGACTAACACTACATATACTAGAAAATAGATCTGTAAACATTTAATAAACCGATCTTGGGCTTCCACTGTCACCCATAGCCTTCTGCAAACCAGAATCTCACAATCTAGGCTCTGATACTGTTCCTTCCTTTGGTTTTGGATTATATGATTTACAATCCTATGGTCACTAATGTTAGTGTGTTTCTTCCATGTAGACTTAGTTGACATCTTACTTAGAAGGCTGCTTGTTTGGAAACAAGCCTTTAAGACTCCAGATGCTAGTTTATCTGATAGACGGGCACCATCTAATTTCTTCACCACACTTTGCTATAGCATCCATATCTTCTGTGTCCCCTTCCGATGGGTGGGTACTGCGCAGGACCATGATATAAAAACTAATTGTCCTTAAATTAGAAATAGGATTTAGTAGGAGCCTCAAACCCATTCCTGGGACTAAGTTTTTTTTTATCTGCCTTTGGCTCCTTTTGGGACCTCCTTGTTAGTTGATGGTAGAGAGTTCAAGGTCTAATCTTGACAGAACCAGATCACCACATCTTTCTTCGATGGAGAGGCTGATGGGTTAGAATTTGAATGTGCGGAGTGTTTTTAACTCGGCACCATCAGGCCTGCTTCTAGAAAATTCAGTGCGGTCATAATTCAGATCTCAATATAACTTTTCAAGGTAGAAAATAAACGTAGGGATATTTGAAAAATAGAATAGCTGCATGTGGTATTGGCACAGTCTAAAGTACAACCAACAAGCCAATAGAAAAGGATATGGATGTACCAAAACCTTAATCAACGTTCTTCTAATAGAATTAAAAGGTGATAATGTACAACAGGTGGAAGTAGCATTAAATCTGAAGATTGTTCTGTTTTTATTTAATACCATGAATGTCTGTAGGAGAAAAAAAAAGAACAAGTGATATTGGAACTCAGAACCATCACATACACCATCCATTAGACACCAAATGACCAATGATTATTGCAGAGTCTATCAATTATTCTTTCCTTATAGATTGCTAGTCTTCTAAATTAAATAAAATGGCTGTAAAAGGGTATTGAATCCATATTTATGCATCTCTACCATTTTTTCCTTATGCTTGTGTTAGAACCAAGAAAGCCACTTGTCATGCACCAACACTCAATTCTTCCCACAGAGTTTCCCTGTGGAAGAAAGCTATTTTCTGTTGGTTCACAGAGATGCATATAATAGCACCAGAAGTGGTTTGTCTCAGAAATCATAAAGATAAGAAAATTAATTTCATTAAAGCAAATAAGATATAAGATTACAATAGTACAGAAGATCCAATACACCATAATGTTACAATCATCATTAGTAACAACCTTGGAAATGAAACACCACTTGTTTGACACCATAGACCTAAAGATAGAACTTCTTTGGCCAAACATTTTTAAAAATCCATGTTGGGACCCCCTTTATGTCATTGTATTTCCCACAACTTGTAATACAGGTGCAGAATTCCAGCTATGCCAACACCCCTTCTATTCCCCATTGTAGATGTATCCATCTCTTCTCTTGCATGTTCATAGAATGCCTTCACTTTGATTTATAAAAACTTAAAGTGCTTTTAAGCTATAATGCTAATTCTACTTTCTTAGTTAAGACTTTTTTGATTTTTCCCATTCACCCAGACATCTGCTTTTCCTAAATATAATTATTTCTATACATATCTTAGTGCTTTTTTTCTTTGTTGATATATTAGATAATTGTCTCAAATTGTTCTAGCAATAAGATAGCGTGTGAATTATGAATAACTAAAGATTGGGCTTTATAAGTTGACTCTACTATCCTAATTATTAAGTAGGCTCATGAAGTTTAGCATTTAAAATTGCAGAGGATATTTTAGACATCCTATAGTTATTTAAATTGAAAGCTGTAGATGACTAATTTCCATGGTTGCGATTACCACGATACCATAAAATATGTCATGTACATTAAGGCAAATAGTATGTGTATCCCAAACTAAATTCACAAAGGCAAACTAAACATTCAGGAAATGTTTCAATTTTAATACAAATCTCAAAATTATGTGCTTCAAAAATAAGGCATCTTTTATAGTCCTTAATAATCTACAATTGCTTCTTATCCTGTCTACTTTTTCTTCTTATTCTATCTATAAATACAACTGTGTACTTTTTACCCACTTGGAAAGGAAAACAGAAATTCAGATGTTATCAATGGAATGATTTCTCACATTTTTATTGTAGTATGGGTCCACATCTTCCAAGGGCACTGACATCAATTCTGGAGAAAGGCTGCCATAAGCAAATGAAAGCACTCTGCCAACTTCCAAGTCGATATTTGGCTCTGAGTCATCTTCATGTTCCTCATTGTGTTTTTTAGCGATACGCTGTTTCATAAGTTCAAGCGACTCTTTCGTGAAAGGGACAAGGCCCTTAGGTTCTGGGGACTCCAACATTGCCAGCTTTGAACCTACAATATATTACATTTCTTCAGTTTTAAGTAAGTTGGTCAATAGTTCTAGATGAGATGGATACATAAGACTATAAAATTGGGATATGAAGAAAAAAGAACAGAAAAGTGAATATGTGCATTCAAAGAATACATTCCTGAGTTTTGTAGAGATCTGAGTTGTCCTAGCTAGATGTTATTGTTCTTAATATTCAGCTTAATTTGTAATTTTCTGTGTATTCTATTCATTTATTTGCCTTGAGTGACTTGTCTTTTACTAAAATATACCTTTCAACCTCTTTATACCAATAGAAAAGTTTTACAATTGTTAGAGATAATATTCTGTACCAAACCACTTATTTTACTCTCAGCTGAGTTGGCCATTGATTGTATTTTCCTAACCTAAATTTAGTTTTCCTTGGTCCTGAGCCCTGCCCTTCTGAATATCCACTTATATCTCAAGATTTTCTCTTTCCTCAGTTCTTCCTCTCGAATTTGAACTCCTTATACTCATCGCTGGGGCTGGCATGAGCAGAGGAGTGACCATGAGCACAAGTACTTTACCTTATACCCTTCCGCTAGTTGTCTAGATAGCGATGCCACCAAAAGCAGCAAGTTAACTAGGGAAAACAGCGTTCTCTGGATTTTCTGTGACTAAATTTTGTAATAATTATGCACGAAAAACTGAAACACACAGTCATTATCCTGACTTTTCATGAAATTAAATTGCTCTCATCAGTCCCTTTAAACAAAACATCCTTTTCTGTCATTTCTCAATATACATCTTCTAGATTAGCCGTTGCTTATCTCTCTAATGTAGTTATCTTTATAATTCTATAACTTAGTTGCTCAAGTAGTCTTTGCTGATTTTTCTCACCTCTGGTCTTTACTTATATTGAGTCATCATATGAGTCACTCAAAATCATCTTCATCAAATGTCATTTCATGTATCTATGCCCTCGTCACGAGGCTTGTTCTTTCTCTGCATAGAACAACATGTTCTTTACTGGAGTCCCTTCATTCAATTCTTGACAAAACTTAGTCCTAGGGAGATCCTCCTTGGTGGTGCTTGGTTGACTGGCTTTTATTTCCTACCTCCAAATCCTCTTCAGAATGTTATTATTGCAATTAACACAATTTTATAATTAATATCATGGCAGTTTGTATGTGTATATTTTGTCTCTTATAGTTCTGACACTAGCTGAAACCCATCTATGAAGAATTTCCTATGAGGACAGGCATATATACACAGAAGTTCTCTTCTACAATTTGAGCTGTTGTACAATTGAGTTCCTTAATAGTTGAATCCACTACTTGGCCATAGATGGAATGTAAGGTATAGATATATTAATTAATCTTAATGGGAGACCAATCCCTGCAAGAATATAACTGCTAGTATATGTCAATGGAAGTTTGGGGTTCTTTTAAAGATCACGAAGGCCAGCTCATTGGCATTGGAAGGGAAGGTCTATAGTTCATTTCTTTGTCATGGGAAATTAAAATGGAAATCTAATTCCTGGACCGATTTTTATGCCTTCCATGGGGTAACACATTTTCTAGGCTTTCCTCTTTCTTTTCATATATGTTGCTTTCTACCTAAAAGATGATTTCAATTGCATAATTCTCAGTGAATAACCCAAAATGACACTCCAGCCTCAACTTTACTTGATTTTCCATTTGAAGTCCTTGACTGGATCTCAAACATTTTATAAATAGGTAATCTGATTGGCCCAATTTATGGATGAAGTTCCCCCTCTGTCAATCAGTTGTATCTAGAGATTGTCTCAAAACTCTCACTGCCATCGAGTCATTTCTTACTCATAATGACCTTATATGACAGGGTAGAATTGTCCCCGTGGGTTTCCAAGACTATTAACTCTTCACTGGAATTAAAGCCTCATCTTTCTCCTGTGAAGCAGCTGGTGGTTTCCAACTGTGGACCTTGTGGTTAGCAGCAGAAAACGTAACCTCTACCCCATCAGGGCTAGAATAGCACAAATAAAAATAAACATAAGGCTTTAGAATTTGGACTAAAACAACCCACCTGCACAAGGACAATATGGAAGAGATAAGCTTTTGCAGCAGAGAAAAATGCTAGAGTATGTGAATTAACAGCAAGTGTAATACACATTGATACCTACTGTGTCGTCCAAAACAGCCAAAATATTTTTCTGTACTGAAATGGATAAAAGAGGCAGTCCTCTATTATCTGAGGATTCATGAACATTTTACCCAAAAGGCCTATTGGTAGGGAAACTGGAAGGTCTTCAAATGGAACCAACATGTGTTGCTCAATGTAAAAATCCACACCATTTAGAGATTTATGCTTTCTGGGAAACTTGAGTGAGACTAAAGGCGAAAAAACAGATGTTAGATTATCTTTGCCAAAAACAATTGTGAAATATTAGTCTATGCCAGATAATTACTTGATTTTTATTTATCGTCCTAATGTTCCCAAGATATTTAGATTACTTTATAAGGATATAGAGCAAGATAAATTAAATTGAGGAAAATGCAGCAAAACAAATAAAACACGTAAGACAATGAAACCGTGTAGTGTAAGGATACTATTTCAATTGCCAACATCTCTCTGGCCTGGAATAGGACTTGAACGGTAAAATGATTTACCATTCGGTATTTGAAAGAGCTAGGATCTGGATCGGACAGAAAGACTGCCGATTCTCTCCATCTTACATGGAGAATGGAAGAGCCTATTGCACCAATGATTTTCCGATGGTTATAAAAACATTAATGATAATGATGGCAAAACTGATAAGCCAGTTAACTTCAGGACCTAGAAGGTGCTTTGGGCATATGTTATGGGGACACAGTTAAGATGATCATTAAGTGAATTATATATTATTGAGAATGTAGAGGCCACACCTGCTTTACTGAAATAATCTTTTTTTTTCTTTAAAAAGTTTTTGATTAAAAAAATGTGGTCAAGTGGTGTGAGTGGCGATACAGGGAGGGTAGAGGGAGAGTGGGTAGGAAAGAGGGAACCGAACACAAGGATCTATATGTGACCTCCTCCCTGGGGCACGGACAACAGAAAAGTGGGTGAAGGGAGACATCGGACAGGGCAAGATATGACAAAATAACAATTTATAAATTATCAAGGGCTCATGAGGGAGGGGGGAGCGGGTAGGGAGGGGAAAAATGAGGACCTAATGCCCGGGGCTTAAGTGGAGAGGAAATGTTTTCAGAATGATGCAGGCAATGGATGTACAAATGTGCTTTACACAATTGATGTGTGTATGGATTGTGATAAGAATTGTATGAGCCACTAATAAAATGATTAAATATATATATATATATATATATATATATATTTTCACAAATGAAATCACACACAAAAAATGTGGTCAATCTTTTTGTTGATTGGGGACAGTTAACTGTACTCATGAGACATATTCAGATCTATATTCCATCTTTTCCCCATTCTAAGATAACTCAGCCAAATGATCCGATGCACTCCCTTCCTTGTAGTCTCCTGGACAAATCCTCTTTCTCCAAGCGCTGAGAACTCATGTAATGCCATCTGCATCCTTTCGTCCTTTGGGAGATCCAACAATGTTGCCGTGATCTCCTAGGAAGAAGACTGTGAGGAAAGGTGATGGAAACGAATGAAATGCTAAAGGCTAGGGATGATGTTCACGTAGACAGTAATACTAAAGCTCTGGAGACATGACTGACATTCATCTCAGTGGATGTGACCTTTAGTAGTTTGGGAGCTGGAAGTACTGAGCACCCTCACATGTGGTACAAGAGCATTATAACGGGTGCAGTATTTCTGAAAGGCAGTGGTTTCTGACCGCTGAAGGTACTCTGTGGCTGAGACATTAAGCTTCCCCCCAAATATTCTGCTTGAAGTTTTGAGAAGGCATGCTAACAAAGATAGCAATCATGTCACCTTTTCAATTTAAAAGACTAGAAACTATTAACGTATCCACCACAAGTTAATACCATAGATCCTAGTATGTTGTTAGCATAGAATACTTTACGGTAAGAAGGTAATAAGAAAAGTATAGATGAGCTCAATGAAAAGATCACCCAATTAAAGTAAGAGAGAAAGTAATATTGACAGCAGCTTGCATTGTTCATATTTGAATGAGAGGATTTATAAAGATTATGAGCATGAGTTAGATATGTTGGTGCATGTATACTGTTTCCTCCCCTGGAAAGAAGTAAGCTGCTGGACTAACGAGAGTGGAGGGACTATATGTGTCAGAGCGTGTCGTTGCTTTCCAGTTCACATTTTTCTATTGATGGTAACAGCCGTGTGTGTGTGTGTGTGTGTGTGTGTGTGTGTGTGTGTGCGCGCGCGCGCGCATGTAAAGCTTACGCACCAGAGGTTTAGGAAACAGTCTGACTGAAATGGTTTCAGTCCACCTCTAGAATCTGTGGGTGTATGTGAGTAGTTGTTCTCTAAGGATGAGCCAGACTACTCAATGGCAGTGAGTTTGTTTTGCTTTTTAACTTCCCTCTGGGCTTTAATACATTTGGATTTTGACTTTTAGATTAGTCTTTCACTTAAATTGATTACTTCTAATTTGGTTTTGACTGTCTCACTTTTATTCTTTTACTTGTCCTTGACATGCAGTTTATCCAGCCGCACTTAATTGACTTTTGCCCTGGACTTAGATGCTGGCTCCAGCTGTGTTCTGTCCACAAATCAACTAATTTTGACTTCAGGTTCCTCAATATATGCACTTAACTCTGACTCAACTCCCTCACGTTGATTATTTTAGCCAACACATTCCTAGACTATTATATTTTGCAATGGGAAATTGTAAATAAGAAGTTTTCAAAAATATCACCATGATCTGCCACTTTGTTTTGATTGCCTTCATTAAGATTTCTAATTCAGACATTCCTTTAAGTTCAATGACAGCCTTGTAAATAAACAAGTACTAGAGAAAACCAAGAGGGGCAGGTTTTATCTTTCCCCAAATAAAAAGGTATCTTTTAAGAAGTGAACTACCCCCATAGTCTAGCGAACTTGGATTCAAGTGATGTTTCCTTATAAAACAAATCAGAAATTATTGTTGAGGAGTTCAGTTTATTCACATGCAGTGTGCTGTAGGCAATTGAAATAGTTAAAGTTTATTGTGCCAACCTAGTCGATAATTACATGTTGGGTTAATTGAAGGACAGAGAGCTAAATGACTCAGTGAGTCTCACCATTCTAGTTCTTGAGCCTCTTGCTTTCTGATGGTCAGACCAGGGTGCAGCTGCCTTAGACAGTCCCTTGCTTTAGCTGGCAAGGCTCACTTCCTGAAAGACATCCCCGAGGAGAAGCCGCATGGACCTACCCCGATGCAGCCCTGGGTTCTGGGGCAGCCGTGTGGAGACCCCTGCCAGGCTGAGATGCTTACACGTTCACTGATTTGGCTTTCCTCCTGCAGTCGGCATCATTACATATGTTTTGTGAGATGGAGGAGGACTTTGTAGATTGGTGTTGGACATATGGGTTAATGTTGGAGTTGTGGGCTTGAGCAGCAGTGGGTTGGGATGTTTGTTGGTGTGCACTTAACCTTTATATACAACTCTCTCTTATACATGTGAATTTCTGTGGATTTGTTTCTCTAAAGAACCTATTCTAACACAACAACTTACATTGGAAGAGTACAAGACAAAACGAACAAAACCCCAGCATCTAATCACAAATTCATTTCGATCAGGAGCTCAGAGGTCACTCAATTGAAAGTTCAGCTGCCTATAGAGGAACTCACAAAACAATCGGTCTCAGTAGAGATGGAGTCTCAAGAGGGTGGAACAGTATGCCTGGAAAGGCAATAAGGGGGGAAAACGTCCAGGGTCATGAGGAGATGTTAGTGTAGTTTTCCCTTCTTGGACTTTCGTAGGACAGCCTCATGGGTCTCTCGAAGGGTCTCTGGTTTCTACAGCTATGATGGAAAAGCCCACTCTGTGCGTGTCCAGTGCATGAAAACAAGCATATTGGGGATAAGCCAGAATTTTGCCAGCATGAACTGTGCTGTGACCCTCGGCTGTTACACCCTGGACCAGAAGAATCTGGCCAGGCGCCATCTAAGAGCTCAAGAGGGAGGAATGTATTCTTCCCTTTCCCAGAAGAACACAAAGGCGTTCCTGTTAGACAGGCGACTTCTATTCTCACCAGCACCAGGCAACCTTTTGACCTGTGGTTTTATATGCCACTGGCTCTCTCGAATGCAAAATCAAAAATCAAAAATCAGAACTGGCACATTCATTAGAATCCCGGAGGCATCATAGAGTTGGCCCTCTACCTCTGCTTCTGCTCACTTAGAAAGCATCTCTGCTTTTTCAGTCTGCCCCACCCACAAGCAACCCAGGCTTTCAAACACAGAACGAAGCATGCGGGGATGCCCACCCCACTCCTCCTGCTGGAGAGCAACCCGAAGCAACTTGAAACACATTACGAGGAGCATGGGTTAATTTCTGTCTCACTCTGCGATGGGCACGAGCAGAGACTAGATATGGATCAGAGCCAACATGACAGCATAGAGCTCTGGAAGGAGGCGCAGGGTGAAAGACTGTTGGGCCCAGAGCTTCGCACCGAAGCCTGGCCTCTAAGGCAAAAGAGAAAAACATTCCAACCAACACAATATATTCAATAGGGGCGTTGAGCTCCCCCTTTTTCTAATGATCATCTCATTTAAGACCCAAGGCCCTCTACCAATCAATGACCCTTAGCATCTGAATTTTATTGGATGAACCCCCTGCTTCAGCACCTCGACCAGCCTCTTACTTGATGCTGATGAAGGAAATCTGGCCTATGGTTCTCACCGCCACCAGAGCTGTCCACCACCGAGCTACCCAATCTCAGTCAGCACCACCAGGCTGAGCCAATCCTGTTAGAAATACTGCATGTGTGTTTTCCCAGCACACGAGGATTCCCTGTCTCAGGATGGAGCACGGTTTATTAAATTAAGCATGGTTTACTAAAAGCAGTGGTTGAACAAATATGTTAAAATCATGATCCAAGTTGGACCAAGATATATAGGACAGCAGAAATGAAAACTTGTCAAAGGCCCTTTGATGAAAATGCTCTCTTCAACTGCAGCATGTTTCACCTTTCAGTGTTGCGGAGGGGGCAGAACTGGCGTATTCGACAGTAGCGAGCCTGCTCTAACAGACAATTCCTAGGGGGAGCGGAATGAGAGCTAGCTATACAAGTTAGTCCCTGTACAGGCAGGTGATCTTATCTTGCTGATAGTTACTAGGCATGGTAGTGGTTACAGATCTCTAGCTCAGAAATTTACCAATATTGATGTTGAGTAATGGAGATAATTAGATTATATTCTAAAAATTTAAGAATGTCCCTTCAATGCTAAGGCTTCTACCATAAACTCCCAAGGGAGAACATATTGTAGTAGACAGAATATTATGTGCCAGTCTCTGAGTATCCCATTTGTCTGAAATAGTTTCCTTGATGCAGATCTATGCCAATGAGAGCAGGAGCCTGGGGAATAATAGGGGACTTATTCCCTTATTAAGGGGTTGAATAATATATTGTAGTATCTATTTACAGTGTGCTTTAAACTTGCATTTATCCCACCTGGGCAAAACCAGGGAGCATGTCTTTCCACTAGTCTAACTCTAATGCATGCACCACAGGCGGTCATGGAGACAGAGTGCAGGTCCTAAGTGTAAGTCTCCAACATCAGGGTCAGGGTGAGGATTCTGACCCTGTCTTGCGGACTCTATTGGTCACTATTCCCGAGCCCAAATCCTACTTCAGGGTTTTCTCCTATCGTTTTAAACAAATGATGATGAAGGAGCTGCACACCATACATTTCTTCTGAGTATAGGATTTTATGCATCTCACTGGTCAAGAATGGAGTATTTTTGCCTAAATTTCTATTTCTCCAAGTACCTAAACAAAATAAATTCTGCAACATCCAAGGATGAAGAACAATGTGCTTAAAACAAAACAACAACTTTAAAAACAAAGTTTAAAGCATATTTTGAAAATATTCAACATGCTTCACTATGAGTGGATCCCCACAGTATACCGTTTTGCAAGGGGAGAGGCAGTTAAAACATGCTTGAAGAGCTATGCAGGGAGCGAGAGACCAAGACTCGGATCTAAATTTTACTTCTTCCAGTGCAGCACTCTAGGAAGGCCTGACGGAGTCCCCTGTAACTCCCACATTGAGCTTCATTTAGAATGAGAGACGAGGATAGCAGAGAGAAACAAGCAGGAAGATGCCTCATACAAGTTATAGTCAACATCTTAGTAAAGTTGCAGAAACCTTTCATGTGATCTTTTTTATTTAGTCCTAGGACTTTCCAAGAAAGAAAATAAAATTTGATCAAGTTGAATAATGTTTCATTGGCACAAAGATTGAAATCAAGTGTCAGAAAAACCCATAGCCTTCCTCACTCGACTTCCACCTCAACATTGACTAGGCAGCTCATCTTAGTGTTTCTTCGCTCCTTCTCGGTCTCTTCGTTCATCTTAACGAAATAGGAGTCAAAGGACAGAGTCCTTTTAAGTAGGGTTGGTTATAGTAGGTATGGTGCCCAACACTATGGTGGGCACATGGCACCAACTTCCTTCTACTGGCAATAAACTGAAATCCTGAGCAATAGCTAGGGGAAAATATCCACAGACAAAAGCACCACCCAATCCCCTGCCCCCTGCAAGAGATTCTCCTGGCCCACGCCCAAACCTGACTCCATCGTCTGCATTAATGTAAGGGCTCCTCAGTGTCTCACCCCGCATGCGTTCAGCATCGGGCTTCCTGGACCGACAGGCCCAGAGTGAGTTAGCTGTTGTGAGCCATGTGAAAATAGCATTACTTCTTAAAAGAACACTCCCTGAAGGGATGCATTTTACACAACTCTACTGTGCCAAAACCTGTTGGCCCGCACGATAGCAAAATACCCAGATGTTTGCGCTGCACATTTACATATCAACTGTCAAACCATCAATTCTCAAAGGAGAAATACCGGTCTTTAAATTGCCAAATTAATTAAAATAAGAGATAGGATTCCACAGAACAAGCATTTACTCCTGCCATATTATCATTGTGTCACATAGAGTCATCATCACTGAGGGCTTCTAGAATTTTTACTCCAACCGAAAGAAGCTTGGGTGGTTGAGTGAACAGACAGATCAATCAGTGCAGCGCAAACACCCACTGACCACCGTAGCTCCTGAAGCAGGAAAACATAAAAATGTATCTTTTGCTCTCTTCGTTTATGTCTAGAATCTGAATCTCCATCCTCCTGCTGGAGATACTGAGGATGTGAACGGGGTGGGGCTGGTGGGAGAGATGGAAGGCTGGTAGCCTGTAGCAGCAACCACCATCCCAGTATAGGAAAAACTAGCAAGGAAAAGCCACTTACTTGCTACCATGTGACAGGTCTCCACCAGCACCCGAGGGAACCCTGAGAACCAGGACTCCAGGGAGCCCGTCCTCCCAGGCGGGCGGCTCTCTCTCTCTTCACGGAAACTCCCAGGTTTCCCGAGCTCTGGCTGCCTAGGTGTGTTGCTAGGCTGATGTCTGACCTCACCAACGACAGAAGCTGTGAACAGCCCTCGGAATCTCCAGTTAAAAACCCAGTAATTGGGGCGGCTGCCCGGCCACTGACCCAGAGACCCCTCCTTCCCAGATACCCAGAGGAGCCCCGCCCACAGCTGGGAAGCTGCTTTCCATCCTCCCCCCTTTGCTCCCCCCTCCCCCCCACGCCCATCCCCAGGCCGTGCCGGGCTTCTGCATCTGGACCTGGCGTGGGCGAGGGTGGTGTTGACAGAGCCTGGCAGCAGCGGCTGCGGAGCCAAAACCAGGACAGCTGCTGCAGTGGCTCCTGGACAAGCTGCCAGGGAAAGGGCGAGGGTGGGGATGGGTGGGAGGGGACGAGGTGAATTTGTGAGGCTGCCCCTTGGGGAAAGGACCTGGAGGGGGTGAAGGGAGTGGGGGCTGAGAAAAGCCAGAGGACTGCAAGAGGAGGGATGCTGGCGAGAAAGAAGGAAGGCAGGAGAGAAGGCGGAGAGGGAAGCCTTTACCTTTTTCTCCCTTCAATGGCTTTCTCTTTGCTCCTAACTAGGTGCCTCCGCAGAGGGCCCTCTGTCCGCCGGCTGCGTTCAAATCCGGACAATGCTGTAGAGAGAGGGCTTTGCAGTGCGGCCGCCTTGGGTGTGTAGGTTTGTAGGTGTGTGGGGAAAGAATCAGCAGGAGCTATGCTAACCTCACTGTAAATCTCTTTCTCACTCCAGTTACTTGATGCGCAGGGGGCTGGGGGGTGGTGCATATTTTGGAAAACTGGTGAGCTACCCAGTGCGTGCAATCTGAGGGTGACAGGCAGATGTGGTGCCCTCTGTTCCAAAGGGAGTTGGGGACATTTTGCCACAAGAACACAGCACTCCTTTTATAACCCCACATTACTGTGAGAGACGGAGCTCCTATTGACTGAGCTGCTCATCCCAAGATCAGCAGCGGAAGCCCACTGAGGAGGCTGAATGGACCAGGTGGCAGTGAGTTTTCTCGAGACAGTGAAGTTTCCATAAAAAAAAAAAGTTGTTGCAACTTTCCAAGAAAACTTTTTAAAAGGTGGAAAGGTTATAAACAAAAAGTGTATATAGATGTTCTGAGGCGGGGAAGGTCTGGAGCCTTGGTTGCATACTGGTTAGCGTGCAATCGTTAACACAAGGTCAACAGTTCAAAATCACCAGCTGCTCCCCAAGAGAAAGAAGAGGCTTTCTACTCTGGTCCAGAGTTGCAGTCTCGGTACACCACAGCCCTTCACGGGTAGCCACTGCCCTATCCAATGGTCAGTATGACTCAGAAAGGGCTCGATGGCAATGAGTTGTTTTCATGAAGGGGTAGAAAAGAACATTTAAGTTCATTGCTGTGTGGCACAAAGGGTTTGGGGTAAACAATGAAAGATTGAAAACCCAAAGTCATCTAGCGGTGCCAAGGAAAAAGTCTTGGCAATCTCTGGCTGTAAACTCAGTTATTGAAAAACAGACGGAACACCATTTGTATCTGGACTATGTGGGACTGCCATGAGTCAGAATCAACTTGACCATGGGTCTGTTGGGTGACATAGTGATCGTATTGGGTTGCTAACTGCAAAGCTAGCAGTTTGAAACCACTGGCTGCTCTGCAAGAGAAAGATGAGACTTTCTACTCTCCTGAAGACTGACAGTCTCAGAAACTCACCGGCCAAATTTACTCTGTCCTAGAAGGTCACCGAGGAGCCCTGATGGTGTATGGTTATACATTTGGCTGCTATAGGACACACACTATGTGTTGGAATCAACTTGATGGCAGCGAGTTTGGTTTTTTTATACAAACTATGTCAGGGAAACCATGTTTCATCAATTATACAAACAAAAAATCCCTGTTAGATTGTTTCTCCTTTAATTATGTGCTCATTATGACAACTTTCATAAATATATTAAAGTAGAAATGATAATTAATTCCAGCATACTCTTTAAAAGGATGGCTTCTTATAAACAAGAAACCAATTTTGTTTCATTTATTCCCCAACCTTCTACCTTGAATTAATTGAAGATTAGCCCAAAGATTAATTTCATCTGACAATACGTCAACAAATATTTTAGGGAAAATATAGCTACATTTAATTATGGTACTTAAAATAAACAATGATTAATTTGTCAACAAATATCCAGTTAATTTCCTTTTGACATAATTTGATTCACATGGTTGTTGTTGAGACTACAGACAGCAAGTCATAGACCAGTTCAATGATTTCTGTATGTACCATTTAGTACATTCATTAAATCCTTCAAGTTTTGTAAACATTTCCACCCTTCTTTCTGAGTAGTTTGTCCCCTATAAGCCTAAATTCACTGCCCCCTAAGATTCCTATATACTCTCTTGAGTGGATTTTGTAACTTTGATCCCATACAGATAGTTCTTTTAAAACCATCATGCTTAAACCACAATTTTTTACTAGTTAAAGTAAACTATTGCTTGTCTTCGAGAGGATTCCCGGGTTTGGTTCAAGGTTTAAAGATTATTTCAGAGCAACGGTTTCAGGGGGTTATCCAGTCTTGCTGGCTCCAGGAAGTCTGGGGTCATGATCATCTGAAAGTCTGTTCTGTGCTTTCCTTCTTTGGGTTAGGATTCTCCCATGGCATTTTAAATCAAAATACACAGTAATGGTAGCTGGACACCATGCGGTGCTTCTGGTCTCATGGCAGAGGTGGGAGGTGTTCCTGGAGACAATAATTTGTACATTCCAGATTATCCTTTTGTTCCTAACTCTCTTGTCCCAGACAAATAGAGGGTCTGGTGTGTTTGCTTTGTTTTTATCCGGTGCCCTGACTGGCAGCATGCAATCTTTAAGACCTCAGGTACTCTGCAACAAACTGGAAGAAAAGAGAGGCATTAAACATGCTATTGAACCAGTGAACTGCGACGTTCCAGGAGGCCATGACCCCAAACCTCCAAACCAAGAACTACATCCCGTGAGGTTTTTCACTGTTTATCATCAGCTTTAGCAGCTATTGGTGGCATAGTGGGTTACCGGCTAAGCTGCCAACTTCAAGGCCAGCAGTTCCAGCCCACCAGCCTCTCTGAAGAAGAAAGATGAGGCTTTCTCTTCCTGTAAAGATTTACAGTCTCAGAAACCCACATGGGCAGGTCGACTCTGTCCTGTAGAGTTGCTGAGTTAGAATTGACTCATTGACAGTGAGTTTTTTGAAATTCAAATATATCTAACACACAATTATGTCAATTGATTTCTTTAAAAATGTATAACTTCTGACAGCAATTGGAATAATCAGTTGTACAACTGTACATTTAAATTTTCTAGTACATAGCACTTTTTGATGGAACAATATGGTTTGTGCAGCCAGTCAACTCCAGAGCAAGGATTTTTCTCCCTTAAGTAAAATTTTATCTTTCAGTATGTTGTTCCACAATGTAAACTTAAACGTAATACCAGTTTAATATTTAAATAAGGTATTTGGAAAACATATTAAAAAGTGCTGTTTTGTATAACATGTAATGAATAGGAAATCAATCTCAAGACATTCTGCAAGATGATAATATAAACAAAAGGCAAACAAAATATTGAATTTAATCTTCTGAATAGGAAACCATGTTTTTCTTATTGTTTATTTTATTTTTCAGCACGTTTGACTCACCAGTTTTAGACATTCTTACTAGCCTGGATCTAAAAAACGGTTTCACTCCAAATAATAGGCTGACGTGCCCCCACTGAATTGTTTAGCAGTGTGCAGTATGCTTAGTGGGAAGGAGCAGTCCCTGTTTATTTTCTACATGCCTCCCTTAAGAACCTCATAATTATATTCTCTAAACCATGTGCTCCACTATTTATTCAGAAGGTCATGGCTCAAACTGAAGATTTAAGTATGAATATCTTGCCTCCCCCCCATTTTTCCAAAAGACGTCTGCTTGCACCACGTAGACCCTGGTTCTTTATTTCAACCTCAAAGACTGGAGCGTCAACATTGAATGACATCATCATCATCATTATTATTATTGGTTTATATAATCATTTGTAATGTTGACAAAATCTTTCAAAACAAAAACAGAATAAAAGCAAATAATTCTTTCCAAACAAAACAAACAAAAACTCTACTGATGAGCATATGTCCCCCAGATATGTCCAACTACTTCTGGTAAAAATCATCTTTTGACTTGACCATTTAAAAAATTTTTATTTTATTTTTTAAGGTCATTTTATTGGGGGCCCATACAACTCATCACAATCCATACATACATCAATTGTATAAAGCACATTTGTACATTTGTTGCCCTCATTATTATTATTACTTTTTATTATTTTATTGAGGGCTCGTACAATTCTTATCACAGTCCATACACACATCCATTGAGTCAGGCACATATGTACAGCTGTTGCCCTCATCAATCTCAAAACATTTGCCCTCTACTTTAGCCCTCAATATCATTTGCTCATTTCCCCCCCTTCCCCTCCCCTCTCCCTCCTGAACCCTTCATAATTCATAAATTATTATAATTTTTTCATAAGTTACACTGTCCGACGTCTCCCTCTGCCCTCTTCTCTGCTGTCCATCCCCCAGGGAGGAGGCTATACTTAGATTCTTGTAATTGGTTCCCCCCTTCTACCCCACTTTCCCTTCACCCTCCAGGCCTCGCCCCTCTCACCACTGGTCCTGAAGGAGTCATCTATACTGGATTCCCTGTGTTTCAAGTTGCTGTCTGTACCAATGTACATCCTCTGGGAGTTGACCATTCTTATCTAATCATTAAGGGACTTATTTATTTATTGTTGACAGCTTTCTCCTCCATCAAATGCTTGTTATAGTTCTTAGCAACTTCCCCCATCATTTAGGGGTTGCTAACGTCCTTTAGGATGAACCAGTTTCAGATTTCTTCTCTGGATGAATCTTTCACCTCATTCCATCTCAACTCTGAATTCCCACACATGTACATTCAGCCCTGTTACAGTGAGAACTACACTCATCTGGCAGGCTAAGTCATTATTGACTGTTTTGTGGCTTGTCTCACTAGAATGCTTCCTGAATGACAGTGA